TTGTGGGGCAACAGCACCAACAGCTTGAGCAATAAATTGTTGATAGAACTTGGCCATTTCTACGACAATCCCTGCTTCCTCCTCTTCAGTTGGAGTGCGAGCTAGATCATTGAATGTCATCATGCCACTTGTTTCCACCGAAACTTCTTGTGTTTGTTGGCAAATTGCCCCAGTGATGCATAAAATAGCCGCAAGGCCACCAGCCCCAATCAGAGTTCCTGTGAAGGCTGCAGCGACTCCCGTAGCACCCAAGGGAACCACTGCCACTAGAGGATTGTCTGATGTCTTTTGTCTTGCCAGCTCAGGACTTGAATTGAGCAATTCTGTGACTTGATCCCTGGTCAAGAAATAGGCTGAGCTTGGCAAGGCCTCGGCCTCCTTGGGTGTGACCATAAAGGCATTGACTGGGTTGCTGTTGAGAAGTTCCACCAGGGCTGCTTGATCTTCACTGTTGGGCTCTTGTTTATTTTTGTCCTTCCCCCCTTTGTCCTTGTTTCTGGCTATTTCACTTTCCCCTTTTGCATCATTCTCCACCCCCTCCCCTCTTTCCCTCGCATTATCACCGCCATTCGGCTTTTCCTCTTCTCTGAAGATGCTGACCATTTGTTGGCTTGTCTTGTGGCCTGCTCGGCTTCTGAGCTCTCTTTGCTGTTGCCCTTGCCTAGCCCTCTGGAGATGCTTCCGCCACCTACGATGTCCATCCACCATTGCTCCCTTTTTGTGTGTTCGCAGTCGCTGTCTAGCGTTTGTGGTATGCTTTGTTGGCATCAAGCTGCCAGTGTTGTCGGTTGTCATCTTTCGAATCAACGAAGTGGAGGCAACCTCTGGAACTACCACGAACAAGAGAAGTAGAGCAACCAATAAGGAGAGACAACTGTTTGCGGATGTTCCGACTTGTATCCCCATGATGGTTCGCTGCCCCAGGCTACCGGTACCGGTATGATATGCTGGCTATCACTGGCAACTGCTAGCTTGTATCGGTAGCTCGTTACGCTGCAAACGTTTGCTCGTCATGGCAAGACCCTTGCAAAGTCCGCTTCAGATACAATTTTGTCTGAAAATTGGAAGAGGGCTCAACAGCCAAAGGTGCGCCTTTCATGGACTTTGAGGTGTGAGGTGCGCCGAAACATCCAGTCGTGGATACCGGATCTTTGGACTGGGACCACCTCTTTCGTGTGACTCTTTCTGAGAAGAGGACAAAACGAGTGACTGTGAGTGATACTCTGTAGGGCTGGTACCATCTCTACACAAGGAGGAAAAGCACTTACCCAATCGATCTTCTGTGGCTCTTGGCATCTCATTGCTCTCTAACTCTTCGCTAACTTGGATGTTTCAGTGAGCCAGCAGAGGTTTCACTGGTTGACACAAACCAAATTTTCGGACAAGTGAGAATCCTGCACGGCCCAGCTTACTGAGCGCTGTCATGGAGGTCCTTGTTAATGTGGAAGTCCTTCTTGCGAGGTGTGGTACCGATTACTGGATAGGTGCTGACTCGACTGTCTCTGAGGATGAGGTCGTTGATCCTGCTGACAAGAGTTGTCTTGTAGACATTCTGAATCTTGGCGTTGGCCTCATGGTGAGTGTAGTTGCACCTGTCAATCAAGTAGAGCTGGACTCTCCAGACAGCACGGCGCCTGTAGTACTTCTGCTTTATGTTCAGGACCTTGTTGTTGCGTTCAGCCATGGTGAAGTCCTTTGCCGGCTTGTTGCCACCAATGCCATGTATCCACTCTTCCCACAACTCATTCAAGGAGCGTGGACGATCGGAGAGCCTAGCCGTAGGATCGTCGCCAGTCAGAAGGCGGTCACTGTGGACAATGATTTCTCCTTGGTTCTGTTCATTAACTCTGTCAGCATTGGCTCTTCTTGCTGCGTTCTGTTGTGGGCACTGGCGACTGAAGGCTTGTGGAAGAGTGGCACCAAATCGCCTCTGGTTGGAATAGATCTTGGTAAATTGTTGATTCAGCCATGCCCTTTGAGCCTCCTCTCTCGCCTGCTGCTGAAGGAAATTATTCAGCATGGTTTGTTCCACGGCCTTCAAGTATGTGATGACTTGATTGTTGGTAGGGCCTCCAGCGTGGCCACCACCAGAAGCACCTGCGGTAGCACCTGCGGTAGCTCCGGTTTGTTCTGCGGCGCCACCACCATTGTTGTTGTTGTTGTTGTTAACTCGAGCACGGATATCGAGTTCGCCATTAACATTAAAAATTTCCAAGGCCACCTTCTTGACCGGATTTCCTTCTGTAGCTCCATAAGCAGTAGCATACATGCCACGGATGTACTGCACTTCCTGATCGTCCAGTAGCTTGCATGCGTCTGAGTCGAATGCAGCCCAAAGCTTTGCCAGTCCAAGCACACGGCAGAGTCGGACATCTTCAATTCGCTGGCCGATGTAGCTAATGACATGTTCTTTCAAAAATGCATCTGAAATATTCCTTGCCTCATACTTGATGGGCCCACCATCACAGAGGATGCCAGCAACAAAGGCATCAGCATAGTTGTCGGTCTTATCAATGTACCGCAGAGCAACAACACGGCCTGACTTGTCACCAACCCACCTTCCACGGTACTCAATTTGACTTGTGTTGGCTCCCTTTCGTGATGCTTTGGTTGATGCGTATTTCCTCATGCTATGAGTGCCAACTCCCTTCTTTGATCCAACTTGATCTTCTAAGTCCTTGAACTCATCGTGCGTCCACACAGTAGCCTTGAGTCGGTTGCCAAACTGCTGATTCAAGTTGTGTGGCCCTTTCTTCGCATCATCGTTCTCTGTGAAAAGGTGGACTGCGTTGGGATTTCGCTGAAGCCACTTGTCCATGTAGATAGCCAAGTTGAGCTGTGGGCAGATCTTCCACTCGTCTGCACCAAGGAGTACCTGATCAGGACAGTCTCTCATGCTCCGGACATTCTTCGAATACCTGGTCTTCGTGTAGATTGCAAAGGGATACTCCACACAGCCCTGAGGAGAATCAACTTTGAAGTGGCAGGTATCATCAAGTCGGTGGATGAGATGATAAGACCAGAGCGACATCATGGAATACTTGTAGCGGTGATTGAAGTCTTCCTTCCGGCGGAGCAGCTCCAGAAGCTTGTAAAACTCATTGTTGGTGTAGGCCCGCTTGTCGTTTGCGTCCTTCCCTTCATCTCTAGCCTCATGGCGTTCGATCTTCTTGATAGCCTCATTCAAAGACACATGACGGGCTGGATTCCCTCCACGGCCATCAAGCCAAGGAACATTCTTGTTGACCATGTACCAGCTAATGCTCTGCTTGAGCTTCTCAACTGAACCGGATCGCATGTAGATAGGAAAGTCTCCTTCTCCGGGATGGTCTTTGCCGTAGGCACGAAAATGGAGGTATGCTTTCACATTGGATGGTGTTATCGCGAGGAGTTCTTCCTTGCTGAATTCCTTGTTTTTGGGATAGACGCAGTCATGCAAATGAGACATGAAGCCCACCATTGTGGTCTGGTGTTGCTTCTTGTACGGATAGACCCATCCAGTATCTTCAGTAGCGGCCATAGCGGCCGTAGCGGTCGTCATTGTCAAGTTAACAGAAAACGAGGGAAATTCGATATTGTGAGATGGCTTTGTTCGTTGATGCCTTCCACGCTGGCTGAAAAACCTACAGAGTTAGAGGGCGAGTTTCGAGTAACAATGCTCTTTGGTACTTATGGCACTATATAGATTATCTGTAGGCCCAAGTAACAATGCTGGGGTGCGAATGTGACCCTGCGTGTTATTGGGCCCTGTGGTTCTTCTGTGGGAATTCTGGTTTTCTTATGTAATATTTGTACCTTTCTGTTGGCGGAATCGGTATCTGGTACTGCTTGGATATAAGGGACTGGGGGTCCGGGACTGGGTACTTAGGGTCAATCTGGGTAACTTTACTCGAGTAACAATTATAGGGGTTTTTCGAGGAAGACCATGATGATTCATTGACATGCTTTGTGTCTTTTGAGGTGCTTGGCTACTGTACAAGGATTACCAGGATTGATTCAATGGCATCCTTTGTGTCTTTGAGGTCAAGCTGCAAGATTCGGAAAGAATCGGAAAGAAAAAAGAATGAAGAAGCCACAATCTTTACCGTCCACCATCGCATTGCGTGGCAAAGCATTCTACTGGCTAGTATCCTCTGTCCAAGTGCAGCTATTGCAGGAGTCGAGCAATGATGTTTCCCTTGTGGAGCGCGATCACTACCGGCGCGGCTGGTAGGCCAGAGCTCACTCGCCTTTCGAGTCGCTTGAGCCTTGTTTCGCTCACCGATCCGAGATGCGTGCCTTGATACGAACAGTCGTGAATTTCATGTACCGCACAGAGTCTCAGCAACTATCGCTCTGTTGTTCTATGCGGGACGAAAATGCACTTTGCAGCCAAGGTGGAAATGATGAAGGCTTTGCGCACTAATAAAAGTTCGAAATCAAGGCTTTTGTGCAAGTCTGCAAAACGGCCACATCTCGGGTCTCATCTATCTAGTAGCCAGAGGTCGCAACGGAGATTGGCAAGATTGTGATGGTGGTGAATTTGTACAGGAAGCTTGTACAGGCGGGATTTTTCACAGCAGCGACAAGAAAAGTTGTGCTCTTATACTAAAGTCCTGCAGTCATCTTTCAATCGAGGTAGGCTTGGTCGTGCTCCGTCCGTGTTTTGATATCGTTGTCTTTGAAAGCAGCCGAAAAATCGAACGAGCTGCTTGCTGAATGCCGAGATCGGAGATTTGTATCGACCGCGTCTTCTCGGTGTCAAACGTCGAACAAGAGAAAACATGTTTTGAAGAAGTGGTGGATCGATGGAACCAGAAAGCTGCATGTTGCAGCTTTTTTGCAAGAAAATTCTGCAGGCAAGTGCCGTGATTTGGTTTGCTAATTTTGCACCAGTCTGATTGACACATGCATGTTGTCGTCAGTCATCCAGTCTGGCTGTTGTGTGGACGATCAGCCAGTCACAAGGGTTTCCATTTCGTTTCACCGAGGAGTTGCCATTCCGAGTCGTCGTCATTTCATGCGGATATCAATCGAATTTGTGTATTGGAATCGTAGTAACCCCTGGATTGTCCCATATAGAATGCCCATGACCAGGGCAAATCTCGAAAGAAATTGGCCGCAATGCCCCATCCGGGTCGTGCGATTTCGTCATTGATAAAGGGCCCCTTTGTGAAATAGGCCGTCTTGTCCGAAGCACCACCATTGTAATGAATAGCCCCCAACTGTGGTCGATACCGAAAGAGATCCGCCGGCTTTTGAATGGGCCAATCTCGTGTCACGTACAAGTCCCATGGTTTGGACATGTTCTGAATATGCCGTTGCGAGACGGGTTTGTCGACATCAATGGATTCTTGTATGGCCAAGACTAAATCTTGATCGTGAAACTGATTGTCGCGTTTGGACATGTCAATTTTCTCAATGAGTTTCCAGAAATGATCCATTTGGGGGAGATGTATTAACGCAAATCCATCACACAGCCATGATATTTGCAACATCCACTCTGTTGTAGTCGGTGCTTCTCGAAAGACAACGGCCAGATTGGCCATGACCACCACATCCGTATCCATGTACAGGACGCGATCCACTTTGTGTGTGTTGTTGTGGTCATAATAATAATGAGACGAAATGACTTTATGGGCAAAGAGTCGAAAGTACGCCCCGACAGTGTGGATGTTGTCCAAACTGCCAAAAATCCCCCGCGTTTTGTTGTAAAGTTGATTCCGCCATTCTTCCAAATGAGATTCCACATTGTAGTTTGTGAGAGTCACATTGGTATACCAGAGTTGATTGGTGGTTTGAGTAGTGGGTGATGCTGTTGGAGTACTGTTGGGGAACAGCCGAGGCCATACTTCTTGAGTGAGCTTTTGGTTCGCGGCTTGATCCGTCATGATGTGGACTTCCATTGGAGCGTGATGAGGCGCATTCAGCAAGACGCTCTTCAAGACCACTTCAAACTCGGCAAAGAATCCATCGTGATCACCGGATAATCCAAACATGACATGGACCAGTTGATTTTGATTAGTTGTTGGAACGTGATGCACACTTCTGCTGATCCTCGGAAAAACATCCGTCGCTGTCAACCCCAATAAGGATTCATATTCTTGAGAAAAGTGGTAGAAACAAGCAGCAACCAGAGTAGCAATTACAATCTGATACAAGCGCAGCTGTCTATTTGTACTGTCAGCCTTGGCTGTCTCCTCCGCCTCTTTGACTGCCTTTGCCTCTTTGGCGGCCTTTGCCTGTAGTAACCTGGGCATCGGCTCGGGTCGAGTCCGTCAACTTGCTCAGTTGAAAAGAAATGAGGGTGGACTGTGTGACAGTCATGGCCAGGTCATTGAACTTGAAGCTCTTCTTGACCCCTGCCCTCAGGCAATTATCCACAGCTCAGCTGGATTACAGTAAGTTGAAGCTTTCAACTCTTCCTTGCTGTGCCTTTGAAGTGCCAAGCAGCTTTGTTGAAAGGTGTTTTCTAGTAGCTAGCTAGAGCAGCAAAGTTAGGTACTGAAGTCATGCAGCGAGGGCCAGGCTCAGGCAAAGAAGAGGCGAAATCCGGGACTAGGTTCCATGGGATCAGGGGAGAGAATTGAGGGCCACCACACGGGGCAAAAGTGCCAAGCTTTTCCGTTTCCTTCTCTATCTATCCAGCTTGTGTTATTAGAGATCTGGTCCAGGGCTCATTTCACGCCAATGCATGTGTTCAAGACTAACTAAGTAAAAGGCCGGTCTCTACCGGAGCGACTAAAGTAGCGACTAAGCCATATTTCATAGTTTAGTCGATAGTTTAGTCTCTGTGGGTGGTGTCTACCATAGGGACTAAACGTTGTACGGACTAAAGCCTTTAGTCCTTACGCTCCTTCACCGACTAACCAGCCTCCGGTTAGTCGGTGACGAGCGTAAGGACTAAAGCTTGTTTAAGAACTCTTTAAAAAAGAACAGCACTTTTAGAACAGCACTTTGAAAAAAGAACAGCACCCTCATTGCACAGCCTCACTATCAGAGCATCGCGACAGAGCTGATAGAGTAGAGGTGCAACCGATCGAACGATCGAAGAGGAGTATCGGATTGAACGACCGAAGAGGAGTATAGGTGCGATCGAACGATCGAACGATCGAAGAGGAGTATCAGCCGCACCTCTATCGCACTTACACTTACCCTTTATCAAGCCGACAGTCTTCGGTTGAGAATAGAAAGCCATCCCTCATTGCAGAGTATGGAGTGCGGGATGGCTTTCATTTCTCGGCCTTTGACTGAATGATAGTACTGTAGAGGTGCAAACGATGACAGAGGAGAGGTGTGTTTTGAGTCTTGTTATCTCAGTCTTGTTATCTCAAAAAGTAATCACTTCTGTTAAGTCTTTGCTTGAGTCCTTTAAATCCACCATGCTGATAGAATATTGGTAGCCCACCAAGTGATCACTTTTGTTAAATCTTTTTTGTGTCCTTTAAGTCCAGCACCCTGCAATGGATTTAGTCCCGGTGTTTGTTTAGTCGCCACGGTAGACACCACGTTTTGACTAACAACTCGACTAAATTGTTTAGTCCGAGATTTAGTCATCTGCTGGTAGACACCACCATTACTAAAGGATAATGACTAAATCTTGAACTAAACAACCACCTAAAGGATTCCTTTAGTCGCTACTTTAGTCGCTCCGGTAGAGACCGGCCTTTAAGGTTGTATAATCCTAGCGTTGTGCGATGCCAACAGCGGCACCCCTTATTTTCTATTTTCTCAGCATTGCAAGATCAAGCAGACGTTCTTGCTTTCACCAAGCCAAACAATGCCAATCGCATTATTTATAAGTCACGTCAATCCTACAATTCAGCTTGGAATTAGTTAGTTAGTATGCCTTGACTTGCAATACTTGCACATCGAAATCTCCGACTTTAAACTTGGGGTTGAGCTCTCCTTCAAACTCAAATTTGGAAAAGACCAGCTGCAATGCCGTAATGCTGCTCTTGTCAAAATCCTTGGCATCGGGTACAATCTTGGCAAAAATAGAAGGGACCAGATTTTTCAAGGGAACCTTGACGGTGACCTGCTTTTGCTTATTCTTGCTGGCTGGGACATTAATACAAGCCGTCCAGGCAATGCCATTAAAGTCATTGGAATCACGCAGCACCACCTTGAGACGTTGTGGCATATTGTTGGTTGTTTGAAAGGTCCATTCGAGACCTTGACATTTACTCAGATCCAATTTGACCGAAGGAGGTGTGGATCGCATGCCGACAAACCCACCATTGTTGGCATCTGTGACCGTCCCCTTCCACAGTCCAGATCGATTGTCCACTTTCGATGACGATACTCCTCCCATGACAACATCATCGAGGGGCGCCCATTCAAAGAAGAGTTTGGACGATGGTGCCCAAATCACCTGACCCGGTTGGATGGTATCCGATGTGCTCTTGGAGGGAGTAAACGGCAGGTTCACAAATTTGGACGATTGCCTCACAAATCGCAACACATCCCAGGGTTGTCGTCGTTCCTTCGTGGCGTCTTCCTTATCCGAAGTCGTCTGTTGCTGTAGCTTGGTGGTACGAATTTTGGTATCTTGGGTATGAGGTGCAAAACCGAGGGTGGTATCGGTGGCCATGAGAGCTATTGCCATTAGAAAGATAACGTTCTGTCGCATGATTGTTTCTGTAGTGGTCAAATAGATGAAACGTCTTCTTTTCTATGACTAAAAGGGGGTACCAACGCAAGATCAATGAGCTTTTGCTTAGTGGCAGTTTATTGATGCAATCACAAGCTTTGGCTTCGTGGAAGTTTATTGATGCAATCACAAAGGAATGAAGCGGAAGAAGTCTCCGTGGATCCAGCACTGACTCAGTCGCAATGACGGATCTTCATTAGAGTTGGAGCTTTCCTAGTGCGACCGCTAGCTAGCTAGACACCGCAAAAAGATGGCCAAAGCCAACCATGATACTGTTTCACCTTCTGCGATGTAGGACATTGAACGACGCATTTAATTCACCGTACATGTAGTCCAGAGGCAGGGAGGAACTCTTGTATTCAAAAAGAAGGGGCCTCCCAGTAAAGGTGATGGACGCGTTCCGGGGACCCTCGGCTAATCGTTGTTCAGGCGGATGTAGTACACAATGCCGAAATGGAGCTACGATACTATACGAGAAGGCCGCGCTGGTTCAACAAACAAGCCTAGGGTATCATGCAATGAAGATGAAGTGCGGCGCAACTAATGTGTAGGGTTTTCTAAGCTTAGTCTTTAATGTGAGGCAAGATACAGTTATCCCCATCATTATATACGGCATCAACAAGCTACAATCCCTCCTCTTGAAGAGTCTCCAGGAAGAGATCATGAGAAGCCTTGACGTCCTCAATGCCCAGACTCCCCGAAAAGATCCAAGAAGACAGCCACCATGGTCACTCGCAAGGCTCTTCGGCATTCTAGGTTGCACCATTCGAACCAATCAATAATCCCTGCAGCAGCGGATTCTCCTTCATTCAAGCAATGGGAAAGCCAGAGTTTCCTCCAGTGTCACAAGCCACGCCGTTATAGATAGAGCGTTGTTCGCACTCCCAAACCAAAGGGTTGCAACAAGCAAAAAGGGCGGTCTGGGCACATGGCAAGGAACAAGGCCCCAGTTCGAAGCCATGATCCTATCTGTGATGGAGGAGAGATAGCACGATTCATCGAAAACGGAGCTTGTCCCCCACTACAGCAACAATCTCTCTAGGCGTCGGCGGGTCAATCATCATTGATGCCGAAATCGGCATCACACCTCACCGCAGCCCCAACCCCCAACACGGCACAATCGAATATCCGTGTGCGGCCTGCTGATCATGTGCATACGGTACGGTACTGAAGTCACTTGTTTTGGATGACGGGCACTACATGTACCAACCAGTCACTACAAATGAATGATGGGATGCAAACAGCGGAATCACAGTGAGATTGGTAAAGAGAAACATCCGCACACAAGTCATAGTAGAGTAGCAGGCCATCAGACAAATGCCTCGTTCTGGATCGACACCGGGGCTTCTCCCACAAAACGTGGGGAAGATTCCCTCCGACTCGTCATCTAAACGATATTAATCACTTGGCTTCTCTTGTGGTGGGTTTAAGGTACGGCAGCAACAGCCAACAACAACGAAGATACTCACTTGTCTGACAAAGCCATGTGGAATGGAGTGGAGTCCACTCAAGTCTGCTCTTGGGGAGAAAACCAGTATGTCATGATTGGAGCTACCGTACACTCTGCCAATCCTATGCATCCAACGCTGTTGTCATACTGTTGTTCTCATCATCTTGGTTCATTCCAATGAACATGAAGAAGAAGAAAAATAATGGATGGGTGGCCACGGCCACCACACAAGGTTTTGAAATACAATAGGGTTGAAGGTCAAAAGATACCGATCATAGTGACAGTCCTGTCAAGACTGAAATGTTTTTCATTTTGGAAAATCAGAATTTGATTTCAAATTGAGTCCCACAAGAGTGTTGCCAGTCCCACGGCAACGTTGCCGGCAACACTGGCAACGTTGCCGGCAACAGTGGCAACACTCTTGTGGGACTGGCAACACTCTTGTGGGACTCAATTTGAAATCAAATTCTAATCCTGTTTTGGTAAAATCGAAAGAACTGAAGAAATAAGCTACAAAAAGTAAAGAAATCTACCAGGTACCCACCGAATGACATTCATGGCTTAGCTGGCTTCATAAAGATCCATTCCGACTTGCGAAGTCTGAGCTTGCTTTTGCTGGGAAGGAAGCTGTGAATGAGGAGGAAAAAGATACAGTGTACACAAGAAAGGAGCAACAATCGACCATGACTCTGCACTCCAAGCTACTACTACCGGTGGTACTGCAGCATGCCTTGCTGCTATTGATTTGTTCCGTTATCCCTTTTGCTCACTGTTTCACCGTCTGTCCGAGGGTTCCTCTTCCCCACCAGCAGCATCATGGGACGCATCATCTTCCATTATTGTCGTCTTCCGCAAACAACAACAACGACACTAATGAGGATGCGATTGTTGTGAATCATGTCACGTTGGAATACTGTACGGGGTGTCGATGGATGGCGCGTGGAATTTGGATGGCACAGGAATTATTGACGACGTTCAACGATGGTCCCCTGAGTGCCGTGACACTGGTACCCAGTCGACCTCCTCCCGGCGCCACCTTTTGCGTGACGCACACCGCATTTGATAGTACTATTGATGGTAGCGAGACGACCGTCCTATGGGACCGCAAGGCGCAAGAAGGATTCCCCGAACTCAAAGAATTGAAGCAGTTGGTCCGAGATCACATTGATCCCGACCGATTCTTGGGACACAGCGACAAAGGAGACTCATCCACCACTGATGGATCGGAGTCGGAGGAAGAAGAGTCCATCCCCATGCCATCCAGTGAGGACGTACGCAGCGTCATTCAATCGCAAGTCAAACAGCCGCATGTGGCCATTCAATATTGTACGGGATGCCGTTGGATGTTACGGAGTGCCTACTTTGGCACCGAGTTGTTGACCACCTTTGGAGACGAAATCAATTCCTTCACACTCATTCCCAGTCGACCACCGGAACAGGGAGGTATGTTTGTCGTTTCCGTCAATGGCAAAGTCATTTGGGATCGAGCTCAACAGGGAGGGTTCCCAGAAGTACCCGTACTCAAACAAAAAATAAGAGATATTTTGGCGCCTAACAAGAGTCTCGGGCATAGTGATGATGATGAACATCAGGGGGAGGGCCATGATGATGATGATGATGACGACCAAATGGATGACGACGAGGCAGCCGATATGAGAGCCTTTTATGGTGTTCAATAATAATGATCGAATTCAGTACAACCTACCGTTCCTACTGTACACCAATAGCCACAACGGCATGCAGCGTCCAGGGAAGTAGCAAGGAATGTAGTTTGGGATTGAATTCATCTCTCTCCATTCCGCCTTGGTGAATTGAAAATGACTGGCACATGGCTCCAATTGCTTTCGAAAAGGTCGCTTACGTCCATTATAGTCTACTGTTTGGTCGTTTGGTCTGGTCTACTTGGACACAAACACTGCTCTCGCTCCCCGGTTGCATCATGATATGAAGAATATTCTCCTTAGTAATCACGCGAGCTGGAATACTATTTGGTGGTTCAGATATATACCAGGTAATCAACACAACACCAACAGTGCTCTTCACCAAGAAAGAGCAATGTATTTGTAACGTACTAGTATCACTGTACTGTACCGTAGGATCCGAGGAGAGGGAAAAGAAAGGCTGGATGCAAAAGTCAGTGAGTCCAGTCACGGTGGCTTCAGTCCTACAAAAAATGATTCGTACCGGTACTGCACTACATGTATTAATAGGACTTTAAATCTGTTTCAATGCCGGTATTCAAAGCAAGCAAGTTAAATCTTCAACGCACCAGCCACATTTACATATTTGCCCAAGGGCAAAAGAGTATGAGTGCCACACCGGCACGACGGCACGACATCTGCAGACGACGACCAATGAAGCTTCACTTCGCTGCACTATTAAAACAAGCCACGGCTACCGGAAGCAACTCTTTAGAGATTGATTGATCAACAAAGGAACGCCCAAGTGGTCAAAGACAGCAACGATGATCTCCATGATCATGGTCCTCAACCAAAAGGGAGACATTATGATCTCCCGTCAGTATCGGTAGGTTGGCTGTGGATTGATCGATCCTTCGTCGATTGTCATTTTTGTGCTCATTCTGATGACCCGTCATTGCTCTCCTCTTTCGCCACCCCAGTGATGATGTTGGCCGCGCCGCAGCAGATTCCTTTCGTCTACAGGTACGTCAACACCAAGTGTGGCTTGCAAGACCCCACACAACAAGTCCTCCTTGATGAAGCCATGGCATTGGTGGTGGATTGTGGATAACGGCAATTTACCCGTTCGAAATGATTTCTCATGTCATGTCGTTGCTACCTCGTATTATATGGATCAATGAATACATATACTGTTGCCATTATTCCTGACGATGGTGAATTGAATAGGTCGTGGCGGCAAAGGAGACTGGTACCGAGGCTCCCGTCAAGCGCATTGAGAATTGCTCCTTTTTGTACACGCGACACTTGAACATGTATTTTGTGGCCCTCTCTCGATCCAATGTCAACCCCGCATTGGTGTTTGAGTACTTGTTCCAATTGATCCGGATCTTGAAGGCGTATTTGGGAGAAGATTTTGATGAAAATGCCATGAGGAACAACATGACTTTGATCTATGAATTGATGGACGAAACCATGGATTTTGGATATCCGCAAAATTGCTCCGTCGATGTGTTGCGCCTCTACATCAACTTGGGAAATGTGCGTCCTCAGGATGAACCAGAGCCCTCGCAGCTTACCAGTCAAATCACGGGAGCCATCGACTGGCGTCGGGAAGGAATCCGCCATAAAAAGAATGAGGTGTACATCGATGTACTCGAAAGCGTCAATCTGCTACTTTCCAGCAATGGAAATGTGCTACGAAATGAAGTCACGGGAGGAGTCCAGATGAACGCCAAATTGACGGGAATGCCAGAGTGTAAATTCGGGCTCAACGATAAACTCGTCATTGACAAGGAAAAGGAAGACCGCAAGCCAGGAGTGGAAATTGACGATTGTACCTTTCATCGTTGTGTCAGGCTGGGTAAATTTGAAGCGGATCGAACCATCACCTTTATTCCACCCGACGGGGAATTTGAATTGATGAGGTACCGAGTCACCGACAATATCAATCTACCCTTCAGGATTATTCCCGCGGTACAGGAGGAGCAAGGAATGACAAAGTGCGTTTGAACAGTAGGATTTTTTGACTTTTCTGTGTTGGTTTTGTTGCCTAACGACACCTGCTTTGTTGTGGTTTTATCCGTTTCAGGGTCTCGATCAACCTCAAGGTAATTGCGAATTTCTCGGATCAGCTTTATGCCACCCATGTTGTTTTGAAGGTGCCTGTACCAAAGAACACCGCCAAGGCCAAGATCAAGCACTCGTTTGGACGTGCCAAGTATGAACCCGAACAGCAGGCGATTGTGTGGCGTGTCAAGCGATTTGCTGGAAAAGCGGAGTGCCACATCAACGCGGAAGTGGACCTTATGCCCACCGTCCGTCCAAAGCCTTGGAGCCGACCTCCAATCAACGTCGAGTTCCAAGTGCCAATGTTCACTGCCAGTGGGGTTCATGTCCGCTTCCTGCGAGTCTACGATAAGTCTGGGTACCACACCAACCGATGGGTTCGATACATTACCAAGGCTGGAAACTACCAGATCCGTATTTGAGAATCTACATGGACTGCACATTGTAAAATAGCGATCCTCGGTGCTTGCTGTGATTTCTTTTCTTTGGATGACATCTCGTCACTTACTTGCCCCTTAGCTAGCTAGAGAATTGGTCAAGTATTTCCTTTTCCGCTGCACTGGTTTGAGGAAAGCACGCAACTATACGTATCGCGAAGAGTACAGGCGTTCTGCTGTACCGGCACATCTCCTGGAGAGAAGTGGATCCATGGCTTGATTGGCTGTTCAGCAGAACCTATCTAACTTTAGATAGATTGAGAAGAGGCCACCCAGGCAAGAGCAAATAGCGGAAGGAGACAAAGTAGTACAAGGACCTACGTTGGATTTCAAGCCAAAAGCAGATCCATGGCTGGAATTGGGATGTTTGTTGCTGACATGCATGGCTGCACGTAGCAAATGTTTGATGATTGAGAAGATTGCGAGAAGGCAACGCGCGCGGAGGGAGACAAACAGCAAAAGGACCTGCATTGGAGTGTGGATCCGGAGCGACGAGGCAAATGTTTCACAAAGTTTTTCAATTATTCAATGACGAGGCTTCCTTGCTAGGGGTACGAGAATGCTTGGGTCCCCATTTTCCTTGAATCTTGGTTACAGTTGGATCCTTCGCTCGCTCTGTGAATGCAAGGAGCGCATAGAATGGAACCGGTAGGGCATCGAAGTACGTAGGGGCAGAGTCAAAGCTCGCCCAGTTCCCGAGGATGGCTCCCTTGCTAGCTAGTCCATGCACGAGCAAGTCTTCCTCCCTTCTCGTGAGTTTTGTGCAAAGAAACGCACCCCTCTACACTGTTGAATCGAACTATGAATGATACCCAAGAAGCTGCCTCTTGGCACTACGGTAGTGATCATGCCACGCCCGTCTCGTACTAGAGATTGGAATACTAGTAGCCAACGCATTTTGTACTTTTTACATTTTAAAATTGCGTACGGAATGAAACGTATAGATTGTTGCCATATTTGGTTTTGTCCGATCTGCTTGCTGGTTTAGTACTTGGTTAGGATGTCGTCGACACGGCAATGACTTGTTCCAACACGGCTTGTTTTCCAGGTTCCAAAATGGGTTTTCCGAGAATTCCCGGTTCGACACAGATCATTTCGTGATGTTGATCGTCTCCAAAATCGGACATGGCCTTTGCCTTTTCTTCGTGTGGATTCCAAACGACACACGAGACGGGCACGACCGTGCCATCGACAGATCCTTTTGCCGTGCACATAATGGGCGTGTGGGTGGGTCGATCGAGTTGGAGTGTCACATTGACTTCATTTTTCCCATCGGGTGGGGAATAGACCCGATCGGTTTCTTTGAGAATGGTAATGGCTTCCGTGGAATCGGGAGACTTGGAATTATCGGGATCGACCTTATCGACCATATCGTATCCTTGCAACCCGGTGACGGAGCATTTGCTAGTATCCAAGGCAGCCTTGCCGTGGACTTCATAGTACGTATGAAAGAGTGCCTGCACGGGAAAGGCAATGGTACCGGTATTGGTCATGGTCAAGGTGGTCGTCAAAGATTCATCCTTTACCACAATGCGATACCGCAATTCACACGCCGGAGACGTGGTGGCCGAGGGTGCCCACAAACCCTTGGTCCCTCGACCGTCAATTTTGTCATTGTCCGCCGCCACCGTCAAAGTAAAGTCCATGGCGGCTTCCGTCTCTGTATCCGAGAGACTCGACTTGTCCATTTTCCAAAAATTGCGGCGGGCAAATCCGTGTTGGGGCATATCATCATTTTCTTTATCGGCAGGAGGACCAAAAATGGGAAAGACCAAGGGAATTCCTCCTCGAATGGCTTTGGTTCCGTTCAAGACGGCATCGCGACTCACAAAGAGGACTTCGCTGTACTTGTCGGGGTTGGGATGATAACACAAAATGGTGGCACCGAATTCGTGGATTTGACACATACTCCCACTCTTGGAGTGAACCACTGTTTGAATACCATGGTCTTCCAAAGAGCAGTCCATTGTTGTTTGTTAGTTTGATTGGTTATCTGATGTTGTTGGAAGGCAACAGGAGTTGTGGGTATCTTTTGGTGGATGGTTGTGGGTTGGGAGAGTGGTTTTATTCCCCTGTGTTTGTTGGCTGAATAAAGGTCGCGCAAGATCAAATCTTCAGACGGTCATTCCAATGCCACTTCAATAAATGACCGAACCTTCGAAAGATCCATCCATCACAACATCTGCGAAAGATCCGGTTGAGAACCATCCCCAGATCCCCCCCCCCCCTGTCCAACAGGAGCAAAACGAAAGGAAGAGACAACCTCATTACCAATGACAGTGGTGGTACGAGTAGTGATCAGCCCTGCTCGGCCAAGCTCAGGTTGCCATTTAAAAGCTGTCTGTTGCTTGGGCAACAAAGGTGAGGTACATGTAGTAGAACAGGGTAATGTAGCCAGCATCTTCCTCTTCAGAACCAGCCAAAGCGATCTCATACAGACACGGACAGCAGCCAGTCCACTGGCTAGATATTAGCTACTCGTACTTGCATCAATTTCTCCTTCGTTCTCGCCTCCTTCCAAACAAACCAGTGAACCTACGTAGTTACAGCTAGATTGAATCAATCATCCCGCAACACAGCATCATTGAAAGCAATGACGAAGCGAGAAAAGGGACAAACAGCTGTCCCGCGAAGTCACAAGTGGAACGAAGAGGGAAACTGGAAGCGATTCGCTGGCTGTGTGAGCTGCCTAAGCCGGCTTGGCTGAGCGACAGGAGCAACCAATCTATTTGAGCAGCAGGGTAGGGCAGAAGCACTACGTGTACAGCAGCTCCATCCCCAGTTGATGACTTGGCATGGCCTGACAGTCTACATCAGACTGGATTTCCAGCAACTATGCATAGAAATGAGAGCACTGGCTGCCTCGACAGTTCCACAGGACATCATACCAAGAACTGGTATCTCGCTCCTTTTATGCTTTTCAATCCCAAGAAACCAGTGAAATCTGCAGCAACCTGCCCACTAAAGAGCTGGTAGCAAGTAGGAAGCAAGCTAGCTAGCTAGCGCAACCGAAAGGGCCCTGGAGCAATCATCACAACGTTGTCAATGGTAAGAGAAGTGCAGATAGCGCAAGCAGAGATAGGTTGCAGAGAGTGAACCTTCAGCGTGCTTGGATACCCCCAAACAAAAACTACCGGTTAGCACTTCGTGTGGAGGGAAGCCAGTCACAGTCATATTCTGTGCTCTTTACCTTGCTTCCGTACTCCATCATTAAATGCGAACTTTAAAAGAACTGAAGTTTAAAAGTGGTACATAACAGTCGTAGTATTCGTTAAGCCATCAAGTGCCTTTCTGATTTAAAACGCGACTTTACTGGCACAGATACTGGCACAGATCCAAGATTACTCCAGACGCAGTCTCTCCTCATCTTATTGGACTTGCTGTTGCCAGGGACTGCCAGTTGCCAGAGCTCCGATCGGCAATGACACCATCCGAGCTTTCGCGAAATGAGACCATCCGAGCGTTCCTGCTTTTTGTTTTTTGCAAGAGCGAGCTGCAGATTCAAGTCTGCACAGGACTTCTTTTTGCTTTTGTAGTAGCAAGGAAGAAGTCCACAAAATTGGCCAGCACCAATACAAAACTCAAAACAGAATCGAGCGCAGAAAGAAGAAACATCATGGCAACATCCGAAGAAGAGTACTTGATTCGAGCCGCCGGGTCCAGCCCCTCGACACGACGTCGCAACATGCCAGGACGACAAAGGAATTATTCTGGTGGTGTGTTGCGGCAAACATCTGCCCGAGAGCTCTTTCGATCTGTGAGCAACAAGAGCACCGAACTCAACGACTTTTTCCACAGCAGTCTCCAACAATGCAGTTTGTTCCTGACAGATTCAGTCAGACAAACTTCCAGTGACGAGAGTGTTGCCAGCACGACAAGCAGCAGTAGTCGGGAAATCGACGATTCGATGCGCCGTCTTTCCGTCAGCAAAGAAGAGATTAATGGCATTATTGACGACGACGAGGCGTTCCGCAATCTGAAAAGGCGCCTGAAACAAAGAGGATGCGTTACAAGTTCCATGGTCCATCTGAGCCTTCATTCGTGTGTGAAGGACATTCAAGAATCAGACGATGAATCCGCAAACTGAGCGACACCCCACACTACAGCAATGGTGGCAACCTTGCAGCCACTTCTTTTAGGACCCTGTAAACTAGAGACATACATATATCATTTTAGATGGATGGATCGCTTCTTTAAGAGCCCAAGTCTGGACTATTGTGACTTTTCAACCCCATCTCGACCAGAGCTTCGTGTTGAGAATGATTCGATTCGTACAATATTGCGCCGGCGCTGGACTGCACTGGGTAGGACTCATCCAGAGCACCAGGTACCCAGTTCGAATGTCCCCAGAGTAAGAGCACGGAAGGTTGTGATTCATAGCTGATTCCATGTGCCAGTGTTATTGATTCATGTGCCAGTTTTATTGGCGGTGTCACGGTATTTTGCGAAGTGTGGGTCCAGTGGCTGCACTGTCGCCATCAGTGGGCCGAAGGCCAGGCTCTGATTTTGCTACTGTACTGGTACCACTACGATTTCCTTCACTCTGCAACCAAGGTTGACACCCGGGCACCTCCTCGGCCTCGGAAGCAAGCTGCGCATCCTAATTGCACATCTACAGCAGACAACGTTCAAAACTAGACAGGTATTACTTTATTGCCTTGCTGACAACTCTACAAGTTCCTGGATCGGTCTGCTGCCATTCTCTTTTCCAACTGATTCCATTGGGCCTTTTCTTTTCTTGTGTGAATCCTACTTTCAATTTCTTGATCTATTTGGTTTTGATGAGTCTTCCTTCTCTTCATCTATTTTGGTTGCGATGCATCTTACTGCACCTTCCTGCCACCGCCGTTCAACTTTGCCACCGCCCAGTCAACATTCAAAGTGGGAGCACCGTAGTGGACAGTCAACTTTTTGTGATGTTCCAAGTGATCATGAGTCGATACCAACCAGGAAGGCATGTTTTTCTCGGACCAAGCTTCAATCTTGGGGGTGTGGATTGAAAGATTCGTGAGAGAGGTAATGTAGACTGCCAAAATGAGGCAGTCTGCATAGGGACGGACAATGGCGCCAGCAACTGCAAAGGGGACCACATAGGCCAGCATGTATTCCACAAATCCCACAGCATTGGCCACCATGGGAGTCACATGTGTGTGGAAGCGGTGGTGGAACTTGTGGTACTTGTAGAGCTTGGGGAAAGTGTGGAACGTCTTGTGCATTTCATAGTAGCACAAGCTGTGGACGGCCATGACTCCCAAGGTTTGCAGAGCCACAAAGGCGGCAGAGTATTCTTCATCCACTTTGCGAACAAAGAACAATGCAGCCACCATGTACACAGGAATGCCGTAGAGATAGTGATTGACAAAGTTCAAGGCAACAGCTTGCAGGTAGAGGGATTTGTCCTTGGCCCAAATGATTTTGGTTGTGTCAAGGGAATAAAGCTCCAAGATGATTGTTACAATGATTGTGACATTGACAATTTCAAGTCCCTTCATGAAAGTGCTCTCAACTTCCCCAGGAGGAAAGTCAAACGTATCCTTGACGGTGTCAATGATTTGCTGCTTGTCGCTGAAGGCGTTCATGACGGTATCAACAATGTTCTGCATGGTGGATGGATAAAGCAAAAAGAAAAGGCGGGTTGCAAAGTCGGATAACAAGAAAGTTTGTTTGTTGGTTGGTTGTTTGAGAGGTGGTTGTAGTGTTCAGAGAACGAAAGAATGAGACAAGAGAGAGGTCAAGAGTTGAGCGGAAGAAAAAAAGCTGAAAGGTGAAGGGCTTGAGAAGCCAGATCTGATGGATCCGTGTATCAAGACCGGCACGCTCGAGTGGTGACGAAGAAAAGTGGATTTTTGGACCGTAAGCAAAAAACAACAGGTAAAAGCACGAGGATGGTAAGATCGACGGTGATCCTGGTCCGACTTCATTGTCATCAAAGGTGTCCGGGCATCACAGACCAGAAAGCTGCCGGTGCCACAACCGCAAATAGGTGTCAAGAGCATTCTGATGACCACACGTCATATGCAAGGTAGAAAGCACCCGTCTTGACACTCTTGACTCGTAGACTCGACTCCCGCGGTCGTTTAATTTTGTGGCTGCTGATAGTCTACTTGCTTGCAAGCTTTGCGTGTTTGGCTCAGGCGATCGGTAAGCAGGACCGAGGACAATAGGTAGTGCGTGGGGTGCTATGATATCTGGTACCCTGCCTCTTTCAGCCTGAGAGCTTGTACTATTAGCAGGTTTTTGATCTTTTATTAGGCACAATAGCATACCGTTAGTCAACAGTATCACGTATGAAGTTACTGCTACCAGCTACAAAGAAGTCTAAGGCGTGCTTGCCCTCTACTAGTAGCTAGCCAGCAAGTCGCTACATGTAGCTTCTTCCTTCTTTCCAAACATCTTGCTTCCCTTCTTGTGCTGTTGATTCATTCGATTATTCGATTGCTCCCGTCGAATCACAATCGAATTGGATCCAATTCTCATTTCCGAAAGGATCCAAAATCAAATCCGAAGATCAACCTCGCTCTCGACCTCACAACATTTGCTCACACTGGACTCCAATAGTAGTAGTTGACCATGGCCACCACCTCCCCTCCTTCTCCATTTCTGTCGGACACGGATGCCCAAGCAAGGCTGGAGGAATTGCGTCAATATGTGGCCAAACCAATGCCCAAGCACGACGGCAACAACAAGCCATGGACGGATCCCAGTCCAGCACTCGTCGAGGGCAGTGCCGTGTTGATCGGGAACAAGTATCACGCATCCAACGTTCCCGCACTGGTCCGTGAGCAAGTGACGGCCGTCTTGAATTGTGCGTCGGGTGGAATTTCGCGACTCCCCATGGACGAATTGCAGGCCGCCAATATTGACTATGAATTCACCAATGTGCGACGAGACGATGTGACTTATCCCATTCTCTACGATTGGAACACTCGAGAACCGAGTCAACATTTGATTGTGGCCAAGGCACTCTATCATCGCATTAAAGAAATGGGTGGTCGAGTCTTGTTCTTTTGTGTGGCCGGACAAAATCGATCCGCTGCCTTGGCAGTGGCTGTGCTGCTTCTGTTTGGGCACAAGCTAGAGGAAATTCTGGTCAGTCTCTCCAAGACGAGACCCTTTGTCTTGGAAAATGAAGGATTCCAACGACAAGTGATCGAATTGGAGGCCATGCTACAGAAAGCCACTCCCCGTGGTCCTCCAGAAGACCCAGTCTTTTCCTTTGGCAATCCAAACGCTCGGCTCGCAAGACGAACGACCATGGACAATTCGCTATTGGGAGTGGTAGAAGTGGAACTGTTGATCCCTGGACTTTGCACTATGGATGTCAAAATTCCCAAAGAGTCATCCATTAAGGCAGTCAAGGCACGCCTCGTTGAGTACGTCAATGAGTTTCTACTCAAACATTACAGCAACCAGAACAACAACAATAATACCAACGCCAGCAGCGTAGGCAGCACTTCAGTCCTCCCAGCATCGTCTTCCAAAGTGGCCAAGTCTTGGATGGTCCTGGCCATGTTTGGTTACGATGACATGTACGATTTCCCCTGCGAGACCGAAGCCATTGAAGAACGGGTCCAGCTGGAACTCATGCAAAAAGTGTTTGGACTCGACGTTTTTACCCCACAAGGCACCAACGAACAACACGTCCGATGGAGTTCCAAATGTCGCTTTGCCTTGGTCATCTTTTCCGTCTTTCAGACCAACGATTCCACCAACTTGACATGGGAAGAACCCTGGACGTTTGTCCACGAAGAACGGCCCGGAGCACCCGCCACCTTTTTGGAATACAATCTACTCACAACGCATTTGCGAGCGTGGGATTTTGTCACGGGACAATCCTACTGTTCCACCAAACCAATCGTCTTTTCCTTTAGTCCGGATCCACGAGACAAGCGACAATTCATGAGAATATCGACCAGTGCCAATGAACCGGTGCAATTTCATGCCCCCGGTGAAGGAGGCATTTTGGGAATGGGAGCCAATGCCATTGTGCATCGGGTCGATTTGGGAAAAGTCGTGGCGTCTACCAACAGTCGGGAACCGGGGTTTATGGATGCCTGTCCGCCGGAAGATCGGTGGGATGCGGCCGTGAAACGACATTTTAGCTATCACAAAATGGTGGCGTTTCTGGAGAATCGAAGCGAAGCTGGATTGGCCAAACGAATTCGGTTGGCCAGTTCGCTCAATTCCGATGGACGAGTGGTGGAATTCTATGGTCTGGGGGTGGGGTTGGCTGCCAATTGCTCCAATTTGAATGAATACAAGTTTGAGGCTATGCTACTGGCACGTTACGAAGAAGAATTCTCCACCTACACCATGAAGAAGTTTATGCAGGACTACTTGGTGCCACTGGAACGAGCGTCATCCGAGGAAAGACCAGATATTGAAGCCATGCAATCCAAATTCACTCTCATATCTGTCAAAGTGTTACTGGTGAGCTTGTTGAATGCCTTTCGGGACTTGACACTGATGGGAGTCCAGGCATTCGACTTTAACAATGCCAACGTGTTGGTGTCGCGTGACTATCGTCTGTGTCGTCTCATTGACATTGACGGCGATTCCAAGGGATCCATTCAACTCGATGAGAACGCCGCGTACATTCGGGGGTCGCCTGGGTCATTGGCCATGCACAAACCATCATTGGACATTGACCTAAACGTTGTCCTACCGACCCTAGTGGAGCAGCTGATCCTTGGAAAGGGACGGAGCAACAGTTTTGTGGTCAACAAACGTTCCGAGATTTGGCGCGCTACCCCAGAGAAAGCAAGAGAGTTAATCATGGAAATTCTTCGAGAGAATTTTTATCCATATGTTCATGGCGAAGACGAAAGATTCAAGGCTGAAAAGCACGTCCACAAAGTGGCTCTGTGGTTCTACGCTATGCTCAAGAAACAGCCACCGTGGGGCCACTGGACCCGGGACATTTACGATGCTATGCGATGCATTGATCATTTGCCAATCTCATAGAATGTGCTTGCTAGTGGTCATGCGCTTCGTGCAATATCCAACAACATCGTGCGGTGGGTTTAGGTCGTTTTTGACCAGGAGAAGTTGGAGCACATCCTGCAGGATCGGTGAATCCAAATTTCCAATGCCCTCTTCAAAGGGTTGAGTTTGAGTGACAGTCGAACAGTTGTCTCACCGAAGGACCCAGGGAAGTAGAAATATATTTACTGGTTGCCACGGTATGGGACTTGCCCACCCGAACAGCAGTGTACAACTCAGCGGTAGAGCCCACCCACAAAGCAGTAAGAAACGATGCAATAGCAAATCTGTCTACTACTAGCTAGCGCAGTCAAAAACACTCAACGTGATCGAGTTATTTTCAACTTCCACTCTACGATCTAGCAACCGGCGGACCTAGTCTAATACATGCTTTCCCTGATCCATTCCACCGACCGGCATTCAACTGACTAACTCATCCAAACATCTTGCTGGCCATTTTCTTTTCCTTTTGCTTTTGTTTCTTGAGTTGCAACTCAATGCGCTCCCCAAGCTTTTGAATGGCCTTGTCATTTTCCGCCAACTTTTTGGCCTGAGTAATATCCTTCTTGGCATCATCCCATCGCTTCTTTTCGTAGAACACCGATGCCCGTCGATAGTACGCTTTGGCAGACGTATCGTCCAACGATAGGGCTTCGTTGCAGACTCGCAATGCTTGATCCACATTGTCCATTTTCGTGTAGGCCAGTGCCAGGTTCAAGTTGAGCGTGACCTTCAAGGCAGTCACTTCCTTGACGTCGTCGGGAGCCAAATCCACAAACTTGGCGCAATGTGTCAACGCTTTGGTGTAACGAGCTGCAGCGAAGCGCCAGTTTCCGTCTTTGAACAACTCATTGGCTTCTTCCTTATTCTTCATGACAATTTCCATACGTCGTTTCTTGGGCAAACGTCGATTGTCGTGATCTTCTTCGTCTTCTTCACCATTCTTTTCCAGTTGTGCCTTTTTGGCCTCTTCTTCCATTTCCTTTTCCTTGGCATCTTGTTCTTTTTGAATGGCAGCATAGTATGACGCACACTTCTCTTTGGTGCTGGTTTCCATTTCATTGCGTTTGGCTTCCATTTGTTCCCGTGTGGCATTGTCGCATTCTTCGGAAAACAACCAATCGTCGAGTCCATTGAGATAGTCGTCAAGATTGGGCAACAGCGCCCCGTGTTTGCCATGTTTGGCCGATCGCAATTCGAGCACCTGGGCTTCCATGTGATTGCGAATGTCTGCCTTGGCGGTTTCTTCGGCATCCAACGTGGCCATGGTTACTTCGGCCTGTCGCAATTGTTGTCGTCGTTCCAACACTTGTGCAGATGGCTGTTGTTCGACACTAATGTTGGAGGATTCCTCCTCTGCCAACAACGCCGCTCCCAACGCTGCCGATGTATCGTCCAAACTCCGCGACAATGTTTGTTCATTCCCGACCACCGTTTGAATGACCGCTTGCACCCAGGGAATCCGACACCCACCCCCCAGTACTTCCACCGCATCCACTGTTTGATCAGCCAGTGTCGATTGAATCAATTCCGTCAAGGCTTGGGCATCCGGATCGCACAATTCACTCAATAGTGTACGTGTCGCCGAGAGGGTAATATCGGCATCGTTGATATTTTCCACCGTCACCGATCCCTCGGGCAATTGCGACAATAAATGCTTGAGTTTGTGTGTTCCCGCCAGCAATCGTTGTCCGGCGCGGGATTTGGGTTTGACATCTTTCAGTTGGGTCATGGTGCTTTGAAAATGATGCCACAATCGGACATCGACACTGGCGGCACCCAAGGAGGAATGGGATTTGGCAGCGAGGACTTGGAAGGATGGTTTTGTGGATTTGTCTTCTGCTTGTTCTTCCTTTGTACCAAATTGGACCACCGACACGGAAGTTTGAGCATGTCCCATATCAATCATCAGGACTGTCTTGTTGGCTTGTGGGAATTTGCGCTGATAGGCACTGGCATATGCCATGGGAGATTCGACAATGCGAGCATCCAAACCAGCGGCAAAGGCAGCATCCAAGAGTTGTTCCCGACTCGTCGTGGTGTTGTCGGGTGAAATGGACAACATGTACTGGACGTCCGTAGCATCCGATTGCATTCGTTGCAGAGTGCCCAAGACACTCAAACGAATCTTGCCGAGCAACATGGCCAGCACGGCCGATGCCGAAAACTGCGTGTTGGAGTCGCCATTGTAGTCTACCGTCACCACTGTCGTGTCATTGTCTGTCTGTTGTGTTTGAAACGTGTAAAAATTACTCAACAAGTCATCCTTCTCCTTCAGTGACAACAATCGATTCAAATGAATGATGCAGTTGCTGCCTTTTTGATTCGCCGTCTCTCCCATGTGACGGAGCTTCCCGCTAAATGAAACAGCCGTGGGAGTGGTGTGGAGACCGGCTTCGGAACGGACAATTTCACATGAAAGGGACGAGCCAAGCACCACCTTGGTAGACTCGGTACCCACATCAATCCCCACAGTCACCTTCATCTTCTTGTCGTCGTTGTTGTTACTATTACTCATCGTATTGCTTTTTATGGTCGACTTGGGCAAACAATGAGCCTGAGGGGAGCAAAGCTTTGGAGGGTTTGCGATTGCATTGGAAAAAATTGGTTGGTGGGCGGCGTGGAAGAACAACGAAGCCAATCGAAGAGAGTGACGTCGAAGAAAATAATGGAAGAAAAGCTGAATTAATCCTGCTAAGCTGACTGTGACGCCTCGGGTGGAAACCGGGACGAAGGATCCAAGATCAAAAGATCCAACGAAACACGACCCGATGTCGAAAGATCAGCTTCTGAAAAGGCACGACAACCGTCAACCCTCATTCCAAAGCAAAAGCCAAACCCTGTCCTTTACCTCTGCCATCATCCTCAAACCATCATGAGCGAAGCCACTTCGTCGACACCCACTCTCACGACGGCATTGACAGCCGTGGCGACCACGGCCAGTGTGGCCATTGTCTTGAGAGCCATCAAGCGACGCTTTTCTCCCACCATAACCTCCACACTCCAATGCAAATGCGGCAAGATTCGAGGCCATGTCCGAGCCAAGTATGAAGATTCTTTCCGAATACACTGCTACTGTCAAGATTGTCGAGACTATGCCAACTTTATTGCTTCCTTGGGAGGAAACAAGGATGAAACGATTGGCAAGGAATTTGGAGACAATCGCGTCGTTCAATTCTGCAAGAATGCCATTACCATTGAACAGGGACAAGAGCATTTGAAGTTGGCCATTAAAAAGAAAAAGAAGAGCAAGGGGAAAATCTACATTCATCAATTCTATGCCGGTTGTTGTCATGTCCCACTCATGAATACCGTCGATTTCTTGGGGTTTGTCGGTGTCTTTTGCGATTTTTTAGACCAGACAGCCGTTGAACAATGGGATGGACCCTGTCGCATGTTCCAATCTGAAGGTTTCGGACAACCCAATCCACCGTTTCCGAATCCAACGTGGGCACCATTTATTTGGAAAATGATACGGTACATGCCATGGAGAAAGTCAGGACCCTTTGACTATGACTTGACACCTGTCTATTGGGGAGAAGATAGTAACGGAGAAAAGAAAGAAGAAAAGAAGAAAGACAAGTAAATAAATGACACAAAAGATATTACAGTACCTTATGGTTGGTATGATATCTCAATCAGTCAGCAATCAATACATTTTTATAATTGCTAAATCTTGTTCAGAAGGATGTATCCAAGAAAAGGGTTGGATGTCAACTAAGGCGATCGTACCGGTAGAGTCTTAGTGGACTGTTCATAGTTGCATTCACCAGATCCGACATGTACCAGTACCGAATATGCAGGCGGGTTGATACTGACACATGCCGAAACGAGGCTCCAAGCCTGGCCCTTGCTGGCTTCCGTAGATAATCCACCTACCTACTCTGAACCCCCAATAAAGGGAGGCTTTGTGGCTTCTCTCACGCGCCTAAAGAAAAACGAAATCCTGCTGAGCTGGAAATGCTGCCCGACGAGAGGAAGATCCTGGGTCCAAGCTCCAAAGATCCACGAAACACGAACCAATGTCTGGAAGCAAGATCCACGACCTGGCAACGCTCATTTGTTTGTTTTATGGGAAGCCAAAACCTGTCCTTTACATTAGTTTACATACCGCGCCATCATCCTCAAACCATCATGAGCGAAGCCACTTCCTCTACACCCACTCTTACGACGGCACTGACAGCCGTGGCAGCCACGGCCGGTGTGGCAATTGTCTTGAGAGCCATCAAGCGACACTTTTCTCCCACCATATCCTCGAAACTCCAGTGCAAATGCGGCAAGATTCAAGGCCACGTCCATGCCAAATATGAAGATTCGGCCCGGATATACTGCTACTGTCAAGATTGTCGCGATTATGCCAACTATATTGCCTCCTTGGGAGGAAACAAGGATGAAACGATTGGCAAGGAATTTGGGGACAATCGGGTGGTTCAATTCTGCAAGAATGCCATTACCATTGAACAAGGGCAAGAGCATTTGAAGCTGGCCATTAAAAAGAAGGAACCCAACAGTAAACAAGTGTACATGCATCGATACTACGCTGGTTGTTGTCATGTCCCACTCATGAACACCGTCGATTTCTTGGGGTTTGTCGGTGTCTTTTGCGATTTCTTGGACGAAAAAGCTGTCGAACAATGGGATGGACCCTGTCGCATGTTTCAAGACGAAGGGTTGGGACAACCCAATCCACCATTTCCAGATGCATCACCAGCACCATTTATTTGGAAATTGATCCGGTACTTGCCATGGAGAAAGTCGGGACCCTTTGACTATGACCTGACACCCGTCTATTGGGGAGATGATAGTAACGGAGAAAAGAAAGAAGAAAAGAAAAAAGACGAGTAAATTTAAAAATGACAGTAAAAAATCTATACTCGTTATGGTTGAAACTATATCAATAATTTTATAGCTGTAGCGGTATCTTGTGCAAACGAGAAATCTCCATCGATTGGATTGACGTGAAATAAGACAAGACAGCATCCATCAGTCCTTCAGTTGATTCTTCCAGGGACTGAATTGAATGTCTTGTTTCAATGCCGTTAGAATAGAAGGTTTTGAACGTTCTTTGTTCACTGCGGATATCACTGACTTGATTGCTGCCTTGAAATGGAGTGCCTCCATTTTTGTGGACACAACTTCAGTGAGAAGACCATTTTCAATAAGAGCATTCTTTTGCTGGCCTGAGAGAGTGTTGGGCACCAGTTCTCCAAGGATATCCCACATTGCATCCAGGCAATCCTGATGGCCTTGTACAACTGTAATAAATTGCACAACCCATGCCTTGTCTACCATTAATCCTGCACTGGCCAAAATGATATTGACTTTGGCAAAGCTCTTGGCCGTGGATTCTGCAAGACAAAAGATTAGACTAGCTTCCAGGATGTCCAAAACAATATCATGGCAGACAGAGGAATCCTCTAGCAGTGACAAAAGGATGCTTTCACATTCCTGCAAACCTTGAGGTGAGCATAGCAGGGCAAACCAGGGAAGAGCCTTGAAAACATTTTCCTGGGTGAGTTTCACTTTGGCCAGTGGCTTTGTTATGGCAACAATCATTTCCCATTCCTTGGGATCATGGTCTGGTATCTCGAATCGCTTCGTGCCACTGGTCAGCGCATCTTCAAAGTATTTGCTCCAGCTGCAAAGTGCTTGACTGTACTCTTGGTACTCTTCATTGCCAACCAGAAGGGTCACATCAGGCTCCAACTTGGTGCATGTCTTTACCTTCTTGTGTGGCGGTTCTTCAGTGGTACGTGTTGCTGCCTTTGCAACAACACCCTCTTCAGCAGTTTCCGAGTCAGAGTCGGGTGCAGGAACGTCCGCGTTGGCACGTGTTGCAGGAACATTGAATTCAGATTCTTCCGTGTCTCTTCTTGTTTCCCTTGCATGACCACCAACTTCACCAGATTCCGAGTCAGAGTCAAGTGTTGCGTCCCTTGCAATACCACCCACTTCAACAGTTTCCGTGTTAGTTTCAGAGTCGGGTGGAACAAAGTCCAGGACATATTCCGAATCAGAGTCGGATTCGGGTGCTTCCATGACATTTGCGCTCGCAAAAGCATTATCCAAGAGTTGGTAAAAGCAAGATTCACTGGATTCACTCGCCATTGCCAAGAGTTGTTCAAAGGAAGATCTCGCGGAATACAACACCAATTGAAGCTCCAAGCCACGGGTGTATGGATCTTATGGGCAACTTGAGTTCGTTCAAAGAGTTCCTGGCTGGACGTTGATCACAAAAGTTTGCTTTCGAAGATAAACGAAGATACGTCGTCTTTTGAATGATTTCATTTTTATTTCTGCTCTTCCATCTCTGCTGGCTTTAATGCAGATTTAGAGGACAAGATCCAAGATCAAGAAAGCGGAAGCGCTCTTGGTTTGGCACTTCGCTTGTCTGCATTGACTTCACCACTTCACCACCCACAAAGGGTATCCGAACGATAATAGAAGAGAGAGTGAGATATCACCATGGCAGTAATAAAGCAACAGAGGCGTCACATAGGTGGGCATCATTCGAAGAGGAGGTATGTTGAATGATTAAATCCTAGCTACTAGCTTTCTAGAGGAGAGGGTTCTTTAGTTTCATGAATTGCATCCATCAGTGTTTCTTTCTCGCTCATTATCTATCTTATGACGTCTGTTTTGTTCTATAAAATGCGGTATATAGAAACCAAAATTCCATGAGATGGCTCTCCACGGCCATTTATGGTATATTGTTGGTGATGGTGGCTCACGTGATGATGTCAAAGGGAGATCCAACCCCGGCGGCTCGGCCCAGTGTCAATGGCAAGACCAAATCATCGAAAAAGCAAAAGAACACCTCCGCTTCAGATACCCAGCAAAAGAAACTACCTTCCTACCAACAACTCCAAAACAAGGACCATGTGGCAGACATGATGGCCGAAACTAAAATCTACGATCGCATGCCCGAATCCAATAATTACCAACAACCACAACCAAAGCTCGATACTAAGAGTGTCCCATCCACGCCCAAACTAGTCGACAATAATATTCCCGACGAGGAAAACGACACGGATGGAGATAACGACAATGATGACTCCACTGAAAAAGTAGAAAAGGATGGTTCCACTGAGGAAACAAAAGAGACCAAAGATGATGGGGAAACAAGCAACGAGGAGGAAGACAACAACAATACACAGACAGACGATAGTACTACCCCAACAGAAGAAGAGGCAACCAACAACACCAATGATGACGACGACAGTCAAGTGATTCAAAATATCCAAGGTCTCAAGGCAAGTGTGGATCAAGTACGGATGAACCTCAAACAAAAATCCAGTATTCAAATTGCGAGGCTCATGGGACAATTGCGAGAAGATATGGAGAATTACAAGACGGACATTGCCACCATTACTACCAATTTGGCGAATCAATTCTTTCCCGACGACGATGTGGCACTCAAAGTCAATGAATTGATCTTTGATGCCTTGGTCGAATCCACCACGACCAAATTCACGGACGAAGTCGAACTCTTTATTGTTCATTGTTCCGAAGATTTAGACGGTATTGTGGTCAAGGACGAAGAAGCCGGGTTGGATGTTATGGAAATTGATCAACATTTGACCGACTACGAGGCCACCAAGACGCCGGAAATGCAAGAAGAAATCGACAACATGTTCAATCAAATGAAAGGGGCATTTCCCTTTTCGGTACCCTACACGGCAAAAGATACCATGGAAAAACTATTTCACAACATGGGATTCCACGTCACGCTCAAATTCGATACCTATCAACGATTGGAACTGGAAGAGGGGACGGAAAATCCCAGCTCCGTGTCGGTCAAATTGGTGGAATCCGCACTCGAGAAAACGTCGGATGAACTGCAGCAGCAAAAGCAAATGGAAATGGACGACAACGAGAGTGAAGATGACGAAGATGCCGACAAGGAGGAGGACAAGGTGGCACCGGCAAGTGCTGACATGGGGGAGACGGATGAAGATGAGGAGAATGTAGATGTGGAAGAGAAAACAGCGGATCAACTGGAGAAGGAAGCTTTGAAAGCAGAACGGGAAGCGAAAAAGGCCTTAGTGGAAGCCGAGGCGGCAGAGGCAAGAGTGGAGCGAGTAGGGGCGCTCATGAACAAGAAACCAAAGACGACAACAAATGATGGAAGCGAGGACGGAACAACAGCCGAAAACGAAGAGGAAGACACAGAAAACGAAGAGGAGGACACCACTAGCACGACAACAACAACAACCAAGGAGGAAGACGAAGACAAGGAGGAGGACGATGACGATTCTGAAAAGGCTACAAAGGAAGGCGCGGGAGAGGAAGGTGCTGCTGATTCGGACGAGGAAAACGAAGATACTGATGGCTCTGAAAAAGCATCCGAGGGCGCCGGGGAGGAGGAAGCGGCCGATGCGGAAGGGGAAGGGAATGATGGCACGGAAAAGACACTGGAGGAGCTCGAGAAAGAAGCCGCAGACGCCGAAAAGGTTGCCGAGAAAGCCGAGAGGCTAGCAGCAGCTGGTAAGTACAGACCTGCTCGTTCGTCCCGACTCGTTCATGTGTCAACTTTATGGTGCCAACCTCACAACTTCTACTTACTGAACATTCAGCTGAAAAGCTCGCGAACGAGGCTGCGGCAGGGGTGGCGCAACACGAGAAAACAACAGCCAAAGTGGGCAATGAAGTGGCTGATGATGAGGGCGATGATGATGTGGCCCCCGACAAGGTGACGCCTGCTGCGGACGAAGAGAACACAGCGAACGAACAGCTCGAGTCTCCGGGTGAAGACAAGGATGAAACGGACGAAGCAGCAGCCGAAACCGAAGTAGCCAATGACACGGACGAAGCAGCAACTGCTGCCGAAGGAGCTTACACTGAGGACTTTCCTCCCGAGGAAAGTGCGGCTGGCAAGTCTGACAACGACGGATCTGAAACAGAAACATCTGGCAAGGAAGGGGCTGAGGACGAGGGCGATGATGATGGAACACCCAACGTTGAAAGCGGCAGTGCTGTAGTCAAAAACGGTGCTCCCGATGAAGACGGAGAATCGGACACTGACGAAGCGGAATCAACAACCAACGAAGGCGGAGACAGTGCTGTCAACGATAACGATGAACAGGGTGATGCTGCTACTGAAGAGGGAGAAAACGATGCCGCCGAAGCAAGTGAGAACGAAACAGTATCGGAAACAGACTACATCGAAGAAGAAGGAGCGAAAGCAGATGGGCAGGGAACACAAACGAAGGAAGGAGAAGGAGCTCCAGAAGAGATCAAAGGGGCCTCAGAAAAGGTCACAAAGGACACGAAAGGCGAAGAAGGAGACGAGACGATGATGATGACAGCACGAGCGGAGATGCAGAAAAGACTTCTGAGAAAGCCGCCGAAGAATAGTTGGGATCAGGGAGAATACTAGTGCAACATTCCTGGAGGAAAATGGTATCAACCACGGACTTCTATTTCAGTTCGACCGACGGTGTTGGACGGCAGCACCACGGTTTCTAGTAGAAAGTGCTTTACCTGATCCCGAGCCCAGCTTCGCGCTGTTTGCCTTCATTCTACAGGATGGCACACCTTCGCAGACAGTACTTTCGCAGAAACACATTGTCTGCTGATTTTTCATAAGATCGCTAAATACATTTGATACTCTTGGATACTGACACAAATTCGAATAAGGAGGCCCCATGTACTCTTGGCAAAGAAGTACAATCGTACCCAGCCAGGGCGCTTCGTCGATACTATGCGACCACAGCTATAGTAAGTGTTGCCAGGGCTTGTCTTGATCCTCTAGCCTCATCGCTTTCAAAATGGCGTTTGAAAAATTGTTGTTTTTCCAATTGTTCGGCTTTTTCAATTTGGACACCATTCTTTTGATTGCTGGATGGTGCTTCTTGAAATGGAGTGCCTCCATCTTTGTGAACACAAACTCAGTGAGAAGACCATTTTCAAGCAGTGAAGTTCTCTGCTGGCCTGAGAGAGTTGCAGGCACCAGTTCTCCAAGGGTATCCCACATTGCATCCAGGCAATTCTGATGTCCTTGGGCAACTGAAATGAACCGCTCAACCCATGCCTTTTCTACCATTATTGCTCCATTATTGGCCATAATCATTTTGACTTTGGCAAAGCTCTTGGCCATGGATTTTGGAAGACAAAAGTTTAGACTTGCTTCCAGGATGTCCAAAACAAAGTTGTGGCTGACAGAGCTAGGCTCTAGCAGTGACAAGAGGATGCTGTCACTTTCCTGCAACCCTTGAGGTGAGCATAGCTCAGCAAACCAAGAAAGAGCCTTGAAAACGCTTTCGTCGGTCACTTTCACTTTGGTCATTGGCTTCATCATGGCAACAATCATTTCCCACTCTTTGGGGTCCCTGTCTGGAAACTCAAATCGCTTTGATTCACTCTCCCTCATGCCGCTGGTCAGCGCTTTCTCAAAGTAATCGCTCCAGCTGCAAAGTGCTTGGCTGTACTCTTGGTACTCTTCATGGCCAACCAAAATGGTCACATCAGGCTCCAATTTGGTCAGAATGCATGTCTTTACCTTCTTGTGTGGTGGTTCTTCCCTGGCAGATTCGGAGTCAGAGTCGGATTCAGATTCACTCGCCATTGCCAAGAGTTGCTCAAAGCAAGATAGAAAGCTAGGCTACGCTGTGCAAGCAGTGGTGTCTATTATGGGCAGACTTGATTTCAAAGAGTTCAGGGCGGGAGGAAGACGTCTGAGTTTTCAGATTGAAACTGTTCGCTTGGTTACGGTACACGCACCGTGTTTACTCCCACAGCGTACGGATAGCTGCCACGGTGCCTTGCAAGTGTGGCAGGAGGAGCCGAGTTTCCACGGAGCAAAGGCACGCCTACTCTACGTCCCCGGGTGGTACCATTGCCGGTGAGAAATGCATTGCCTGTGGCCTGTGGTACGTAGCCCTCTTAATGAATCGAAAACCAGACAGTGGACCAAGCCACCGGCTGGTACTAACGGGTACAACTACCGGGTTAGTTCGTAGTCTACTACAAGCAAGTCTTACGATTTCAGCAAGGAGTGAAAGATAGATTTATTGAAGTTACTAGTACTACTCTGAACTCGAATCGCCGCAAGTGCCGAGCAAGGGAACGCAGTTTTCTAGTAGGCGGAACCCTATTGGAACTGTGTTTGGCTAGAGAAACGGAACTAGACCAGGAGACCTGTTGTTTCGGTGTCTGTCAAACTAATGGAGCAGATGTCGCCAGGGTCTGAATTCGGGTTCCTTCTTCAACTTTGCCCGTGCACTCGAACTAGCATTGTTCACAACTGCAGCTGCTGCCTTGACCGCAGAGATTGCAGGGTGATTCCCATTGAGGTGGCATGTCTCAAGCTTTGAGAACACAAACTCATGTAGAAGACCATTTTCAAGGAGTGCAGTTTTCTGCTTCTCAGAGAAAGAGGTGGGCAAGTGGGTCTCAAGGGCATTCCACATGTCACCAAGACAGTCCTTGTGACCTTGGGCAACTGTGATGAACCGCTGAACCCATGCCTTTTCTGGCATTAGTTCAGCATTGTCAAGGATGCTCTTGACTGTAGCAAAACTTCGTTCTTTGGACCTTGGAAGGCAAAAGTTCAGACTTGCATCAAGAATGTCCAGAACCATCTCATGGCTACTGGCCACAGTGACCACTGCTTCCAGTAAAGATGAAAGGACACAGTCACATTCCTGCAGCCCTTGAGGTGAACAGAGCTCTGAAAACCAAGAGAGAGCAGTAAAGACATTGCTTTTGTCAAGTTTCATGGAGGCCAGTGGTTTCACTAATGCAACAATCATTTCCCATTCTTTGGGATCCCGGTCTGGAAACTCAAATCTCTTTGATTTGCTCTCCTTCATGCCACTGGTCAGAGCTTTCTCAAAGTAATCACTCCAGCTACAAAGCATCTGACTGTACTCCAGGAACTCCTGGCCACTCACCACAATGGTCACATCAGGTTCCAATCTAGAAGCCAAGCACATCTTTCTGGATGCTTGCTCTTCCTCAGAAACGACTGTTGCTACCAGCATTACCACTGTCTCGGGAACAGCTCCGACTTTCGTGGGGCGCTGCTCTTCCTCAATTGAAACTGTTTTTTCAACCTCGACTGCCTCGACTGCAGTGAAGTCTTCTTTGACAACTACACGTTCGCTCGCCATTGTCAATATGGTTGTACGTGCAGAGCAACAAGTCTACTTCGTCTCGTCTTTCTTTCCTGTTTCGACTAGATAGTGAAGGACGTGGCAGATTTGAGGCTGAATTTCCACGCTGATTTGCTTCCACGATGCTTCACTCCGCGTTACGTTTCGGTCCAAGTTTCGCCACACGGCAGAGGTTCGGAGAGAACCCGCTCGGATTCACCGTCCGATAGAAGTACTGGTACCAGGTAGAGCCGTTGCCGACATGCCACACTTGACTGGGTCTCAGGGGAGGGAATTGCTAGAATCGCAGTCGTTCGCTGATCCCCAATCCAACAACAAAAATGCCTCCACCTTCCTGGTTTCTATGCTGGCATGACAGCAGCTGAAAAGGACACCTCCATCACCATGTCCAACTGATTGTCTGGGGGTTTTCGCATCAAGTAGTCCGTAATGAAGGCCATGTAGTCGGTCCCTTGCATTCGGTTAAAGACGCTCGCGACATTGGCGATGGTCTCTGTCCCCGGTGCAAACTCGTAATTCGCGTCGAAATCAAACATGATATGGGGAGTACCTCCCATCATGTAGTTCATACTGGTGATCACGGTATTATAGGAAAGGAAACTGCTGGCAAACTCTGGATCGGCTAGAAAGGCGGCAGTGTAGAATTCATCCATTAGAGTTGCGAGTTCTGCCCACTCGGCAGCATTCAAATCACGGTCGACATCGCCGGGTAAGCCCGTAAAGTAGGTCATGCCAAAATTAGATCTGACCGTGAAGGCATTGTTGCCCGCCGATGGCGTTGGGGCAGATGTAAGCAGGCTAACTGGTGTTGGTGCGGAGGTGAGTTGACTGACCGGTGACGGGGCGCTTGTGGTGGGTGTGGTGGGTATGATTGGTATGGAGGGTATGATTGGTATGGAGGGCCTGATTGGAGCCCGGTTCGGAGGACTCGGAATGCTCGGTGGCCCTGGAGTACTCGGACGGGCTGGGTTTGACGGGCCGAAAAATGGGTTTCCCGTAAAGGTTGGAAACGGCGTGAAGCTCGGGAAAGGAGTAAAAGTGGGTAGGAAAGTAGGAAACAAGGTATCTGCAATGTTGGGTGGGCAAAAGGGCAGTCTTCCCATCATTCTCCTTCCATTGCCGTTGCCCATCACGCGATTCATAGCGGTCATCATCCGATTACCGATCATCCTCCTGGGGTTAATCATCCTAATATTGCCTCGATTCTGCAAGAGTCTTTCTCGAATGTGTGAGTGTCTTAGTCGTAGGTCTCTTCGCGAGCCCTTTCCTTTTCCTCCTTTTCCTTTGCCTCTGTCTCCTTTGCCACCTTTTCCTTTTCCTCCTTTTCCTTTGCCACCATTTCCTCTTTTGCCTCTCCGTCTTCCTCGTTTGCCGTCCATGCCGCCTTTCTTGTCGCCTTTGGGCCGCATCATCTTCTGGCCACCTCCCCCAATATCGCTGCGTCTTGGCCCATCTGGTATTGGAATGCAGTTTACAAATGGTATAGGAGGAATTCCCGGTGGTAAGATCCACCTCCCGCCTATGGAATCTCGTCCTCCACGACCGCCACCTCCGCCCCCACCACCTCGCCCTCCACCACGGTTACTGCGGCCACCTTTTCCTCCCCTCGACTTGGAGGAGGACTTGGCAAATCGTCGCTGCAAGTCTCGGTGCTGCGTGTCTTGGGAGTCGTCGACTCCCATCTCCCCACCGTTCCCTTTTTTGCTTCTCTCTGTTGCTTTTGGTTTGCGTTTCCCATCGATTCGACGAATCGCTCCGTGTACGTCCATCGTCCATAGTAATAATAAGAGGAACAGCAGTACCCTGGCTAGGACAACGAAGTTGCATCTCGGCTTTCCCATCGCATGGCTGATTTCGTCCCCGAAAAACTTACAATGATGACGATTATCCCGTTGTTTGAGCACCGTTGTATGGCAGTGTCCTGGATCAGCTAACGCCGAACTCTCCTCTTCCTTGGCGTTGAGCCGAAAACCTGGGTGCGCTGAAACTCTTTCGGGCAACTCCCGCGCACCTCTCACAAAAAATGAAGCTCTAACCCTTTCATGGATTTCGATTCATCAGAGCGGAAGAGGTCCCAGCAGCCACCACCGTCCGCCATCACCGTGACAGCTCCAAAATAATCACCGCAACTTCAGCCTCATCGCCATAGAAGTTTATTGATCGATTGATATTCAGAAGAAGCCAATATTACTACTAGTATGTTATCAGCCGGCAGAACGTCAGGATCCAAAGTGGTGGCAATTGCTGTGGCGGGTACCATTGGAATGGTGGGAATTGGCAGTGTGTACCTTCCCTTTATGGCGGATCGCGATCAGATGAGAGGCATGGACGAAGACGGAGGCATGGATAAAAAGTCAAAACGGCAATTGGAGCAATACCTCAAGGGTCAACAACAGCAGCAACAGCAACAAGCAGAAACCAAATCTGCGGGTAGCATGTGGAGCAACATGAAAAAATAAAATGAACGAATCGTATCGAATCATGATTATGATTATGATGGCAAAGACTGAATGCAATATCTTTCCCAGAAATGTCACCAGAAAATCAAATGGATTGGCAAATATCTTGGTTGCTAAAGAGATTGGGAAAGGTTCGAGCCATTACCACTGTATATTATCAATCTACACACGCAATAGAGACTTGTTGAGACCTGCAATAACACCTCTCTAATGAATGCCTCTTGCTACATATCATTACATATCATTTTCAAAGCAGAGTGTGCGATGCAAAGCATCCATGTTGTGATCCTCGGGTTTAGTTAGATATGAACATACTAAAGCTTCTGTAACTAATAATTCTTATTATACTTTGAAATTCTTGCTCATTTTAGCCAACAAATGATCCCCGTACATGATGGGTTCAAAGCAGGGTTGTTTCAAATCGGACTTTTGGACCAATTCCTCAATGGGCGCAATGAGACTGTCATAGTTGGGGTCGAAAAAGAAGGGGACACTGACTCGATCTTGTTGTGGTCGTAATACCCGATGGGGTGTCGAAACATAGATCCCATTGGTCCACCGGGCCAGCATGTCAAAATATTGCAAATGAATCCACCGGGAATGGGATCTACCGTCATCCACTCGTCACTCTGTTTGGGTCGAATTTGCAGGGTATTTCGGACGTTATCGGCCAAAATCATGGTCCAAAACCCGTAATCGGTGTGCTCCCCCACACCCCATTCAAAGTTTGGATGAACATCATTGTCTTTACCATTATTGCTATCGAGCGGGATATCGAATCAACCGCATGGTCCAGTAGGGATCGGTAAAGTAGGGTTGAAAATAGTCGCGTCCGAGTCCCAAACCAATGGATGCCGCTGCCATGAGACGATTTCCTACAGTGTTCATTTGAGAAATGTACTCTTCCAATGTGGGTCGCAGACGAGGGACCCATTGTGGATCCGGCCACAGATTGTGCCCATAATTGGTCAGGCAACCATGGTCGATGGCGGCTCGTGTGGACTCGGATATCAAATCGAATCCTTCGTGACCATCTGGCTGTTCGCTGGTAATGTTGACTCCGATGCGTTGATAGCCTCGATACGAATTGGAATGGGCTACACTAAAGGTTTCTTTTTGTTCTTCGGACAAGTTCCGAAACATGTTGCGAGCTTCTTCCAATACGGTGTTTCGTAGCGTTTCGGAAACACCGTGATTGACAATGTGAAAGAATCCCACGGTAGTGCAAGCATGGTGCACGGCGGCTCCCACTTGATGGTCGGGTAAGGACATGTCCACCACGGGCACAGTATGTGCACCATCAGTAATATTATTTTTTGGTGACTGATGATGAGAAAGAGTGCGTCGGATCAGATTGTTTCTTGTGACCGTAGTAGTCATGATAGAAGGAACCGATCCGCGAGGATTGTTCTGTGCATTGGAGACTACGAAAGAAGAGCAGCGACGCATCGGGGCGGTGACTGGATACTGGTGGGTACCGGTAGCTCCGGTGACGGCAAGCAGTTGTCGAAAAGCTAAACTCCTTCTCATTCCAACTGAAGCACTGCCGATCCCTGCAGATGCATGACTGTGGAAGTACATTATCGGTGGGATGATACAAGGAGGGCGATGGATGTGAAGGAAGATGGATGTGAAGGAAGATGGATGTGATCCAGAATTTTTAACTCGACTCTGCAATCTGAAACCTTTTCACAGGACCTCTGTGGAAACGTCATTCGTGGCAAAATACTTAGGAGACGATACACCGAGGAATAGGAGACGATCGAAATGATTTAAGAGACGAAAGCAATCGTCTCCTATATTTAGGAGACGATTCAGTAGGAGACATTCCAATTAGGAGACGAAAATTTCAAAATAGGAGATGATCCGAAAGATTTAGGAGACGATACCATACAGTTTACATGGTACACTTAAGAGACGATCCGTTGAGAATAGGAGACGATCCGTTGAAAATAGGAGACGTTTTAAGAGGAGACAAAAGATTTAGGAGACGATCCGTTTTGTCTCCTATTTTTAGGAGACGAAATCCATTAAATAGGAGACGATCAAAAGGATTTAGGAGACGAAAAGTAGCACGACTCGAGTTTCCACAGAGGTCCAGACGGTGAGTAAACCTCAAAGCAGCTTTGCAAGCTGGTACCGGTACCACACAGTATTCTGCTTTCTGTTCTCGCGGGCTCTTTTAGACTCCTGATGGATCTTTTGTGAACTTCAGGTGTCATCTGTTGAAGTCTCTTACAATTGAGGGTATAAAAGTGTTAACGCCCTGGGTTCTGATTGATCAAAGATTTACAAGGATTTTGTTCACGGTCATTCCAGCTGGTGCCGACGTTGTTCCGGAGTCGCCACATTGCCCACAACCCAAACAAAAGAGAGCTCGAGCTTTTTCGACAATAGCAACACTTTTGTGAATGTCCAGCAAACTGCACGAGCACTCCGTCCAGTCTCATTCTTCTTCCTTTTGCTGAGTGGAGTCTGTGCGCACAAATTGGACTTGTTTCTTTTAACTGACCAACTCCCTTGAACGTACTAGTAGTGAGGCTCCATCATGACCACGATCCATCCTGTTGCGGACGACCCTTTTCACAAACCAATCATTGCGTCTCCTCTATCGGAACAGAACTCTGGTGCTACTTGTACTACAGAACCCTCTACTCACGACCACGAGTCAGCAACGAGCTTGTGCAAAGTGGACAAGGCCCCCGATAGTCTGAAGGACGAACAGCTTTCTCGCGTATCCTCCGCGACGGCTTCCACCGTGGCAACGTCAGATGATGAAGAAGACAGCGTGGTCCAAAGCGTGGAACAGGCAACATTAGACGAAGAAGCGATCCTTATGGATCAAGGCTCGGAATCTCAAGTCGAGGAGTCGACTGCCACAACGATTCCCAAAAATCTTGGTGCCTCTGTGAGCTTTCGTGACGGTGATGGTGGTGATGATGATCATGACAACGACGACGACGACGACAAGTCAGCAGAAGAAGAAGAAGAAACGTCTACTACAACTCTTGCCAAGAAACTGGACGGTTCTGTGAGCTTTCTTGATAGTGATGATGGTGATCATAACGACGGCAAATCAGAAAACCTAGAAGAAATCGGCCACAGGTCTTCTTCTACGGTCCGCTTTGGCTCGATTGTAATGAATGGAGTGGACGTGGATGCCTGGCAGGAAGAACGGGAGGAAAGAGAAAGCCAAAAGTCCTGGTGGGAAAAACACGCCGATTGGGTCCATCGAAGTTTGTTGCAGGAACAAGTGGAAGAGCAAATGCAAAAATTGCATGCCACGCAAGAGCAAGAACAAGAACCACAAGAGGGGGAATCCACCACGACAAAACTACTGACATCCACTCTCTACCCCAGTCCCACGGGAGAAGGAGTGTCGGTGAGTATCAAATTTCGGGAAACCCAGTCCTTTTACACCGCCATACCATCCTTTACCGAATTCAAGGACATTACACGCGACAATCATTTTCAATTGGCACCTGCCGACTGGCACGTCGTCATTACCGATGTGAAAGGCTCCACCAAGGCCATTGAAGAGGGCCGCTACAAAGATGTCAATACCATTGGGGCCGCCTCCATTTCGGTAGTCCTCAAATTGTTGGAAGAAGATGTGCCGTTTGTCTTTGGGGGAGATGGAGCCACACTTTTGATTCCTCCTACCGATATTGGGCGGGTCTTGGAGGCGCTCTTGCGATTACAGCGCTTGTCCGAGCAAAACTTTCAACTCGGGTTACGAGTGGGACACATTTCCGTGGGAGAAGTGCACAGCAGTGCGGGTGGTGCTGCTCGGATTGAAGTGGCCAAACACGAATTGACCGCGGGACGATGCGTTGCGGTCTTTCGAGGAGGAGGTCTCACGGTGGCCGAGGCATGTATCAAAGGACAAGAGGACAAGTACTGTGTGGAATGGAAGCATGATGAAGATGATGTAGAACTGGGAGGACTGTCGTGTCGATGGAATCCAATACCCAACAAACGAGGAACGATCATGTCTCTGCTGGTCTGTGCCCGCGAAGGGGAATCCCCGGCAAAAGTATACGACCAAGTTTTACGAGAATTGGACAAAATCTACGACGGGAAACTGGATGAAGCCAATCCGGTCAATACAGACTTGCTCTACTACAAAACAGTAGGGCAGTGTTACGAAGACGAGAAACGATATCACACCAACCACTGGACGACAAACTTTATGGAACGAGTTTCCGAGATTTTCCTGGCCGTGGGAATTTTTGGACATCAAATGGATACCAACCTTTTTGATCATAAACACTACTTTGAATCCATGAGACAACATGCGGACCATCGCAAGTTTGACGATATGCTGCGAATGATTCTGGATTGTTCCGATGAACAAGCACAATCTATTGAAAGACTCCTGGGGCAGCTCCACAAGGACCAAATGCTGCATTACGGAATCCACCTCTCGGACACGGCCCTCATGACGTGCTATCTGGAAGATGTTGTCGATGGCCAGCATATACATTTTATCGACGGAGGAGATGGAGGGTATGCCATGGCGGCCAAACAGCTCAAGGCCCAGCTCAAGAGCGATTTAGTACAAGCATAAACAACTGAGTGTATTCATAATATGTAAATGTAAATTCCATTTTATTTGCACAACTAACTAGAAACAGCCTCGACTTCCGTGGCCCAGACGGGCTGTTTCAGGAGATCTTCCTTGAAACTGACAATGTTGCCACCGCCACGAGGAAAGATATCCAGAGACATCAGAACCAAGCGTTCATCGAGATTCCCATATATATTGACAATGTCTTGGTGATTCTTGATCGATGCAAGATACAAATTGATGCTCACGACATTTCTTCCATCCCATGTTGCGACAATATTCCCCCCCGTCCAATGAGTTGCAACAACAATACCGACACCATTTCCATCAGAGACTTGCTTGTAGGCGAAGCTACCTGGTTCTAGCGAATGTCCGTTTGCTTCCAGCAAAACATCCATGGCCTCAGCGAGGAACCTCGTAACAAGAGTCATGTCGAATTGTTCTGCGTCCCTCATCATCTCTGATTCCTCAACGTCTTTCAATATCTTGGGCCGCCCATCTAGCTTGACGTCGTATCTATAGTCGTCTTGGAGGTTGGTGACAGTCCCAGGAACCCATGCACCTCGATTCTCCACAAACACTTTTTCGCCGGCCCAAAATACCGGGAGATCGAGCTGTACGAGTACTTGAGCTCCCGTTGGCTTCTGTGATTGCCACTGGCTCAGAGGCGAAATAAGGTCGTAGGCATGCAGTCCTGATGCTTTCGGAGTATCAAAGTCTTCAGGCCGCTTCTCCTTGCGGACTTCTGTTCGTGTGCTTGTGGTACCATGAACACCGGTATTGCACAATTCTTTTGCAGAGGGAGGTCCAACGCCGTTGCCTTCATTATTTAGACCGGACATGCCACCGGTGACAAAGCGGTAGGAGGAGTTCTGAGCACTTTGGAGCGCCGCGATAAGAGATGCTTTGACAACCTCAAGCTTCAGCACACTTGGTCCGTAAAGCTGAATGTCGAAAGCGCAGTAGCGCAGTTCTGGGTTGCACCTCGCGACCAGGTAGCCTTCCTGAGCAAAAATAGTTAGACTGAACCCCGTCACCCCATCGTCAGCCGTGAAAGCGAAATCGACAGCGTCAACTCCGGTGATTCCAGCAGTGTTCAGAGCTTCAACGATGACGGGTTTCAAAGTCTCTGCTGTATCCAGTGATACAGCAATGCTCTCTGCCTCGAGGATCATCATGACTCCAACAGTATAATCACTTTCAAACTGCTCCTCTGCAGCTTCGTCTTGGTCACATTTCCTCGTGCCGTCGCCGCCAAAGTTGTACCAGCTATCGAATTGAGATTGAAACTCATCGACGCCCTTGAGGTAGATTGTCTCGACATTGTGATCTTTCGGTTGAGCGGTCAGAAAGTCAACGGTGTTGCTGCCCACAACAAAGATTTGAAGACAATAGAGAGGGACATCATGGTAGATCAAATCGACAGAGTACTTGGTGTAGTCTTTGTTTGTGCCCGGTACGTAGCCTTGATCTTCGTTCTTGACAATGATGCCACCTGGTTTCATGAGAAGCATTGCAGCCTCCATAACCTTGAGCTCGTAATTCACTGCCAGGCTCTCTGCAACTTCTGTGAGGATGTCAACAATCACCAAGTCAAAGCTTCCATAGTAGTTGCTTGGCAGTGCCAGCATGCTGTCGAAAACAAAAGAGGCACAGTGAATTAGTCAATTTTTCCATCCATCAAAATCCCAAAGCGAAGAACGCAAGAGACGATTTATTTACCTTTTGGCCGCATCACCAAAGTACCAATGTACCTTGTCATTGTCAAAGTGCGGCTGTGTGCCAAAGGTGTTGAATGTTGTTCTGGTCACCCTTTGGTCCAACTCTAATCCCACGACGAGCTCCAAATCTTGGTACTTGAGGACTTCATGCAGCACCATGGAATCTCCTCCACCAATAAAGAGAACCCTTTCGACCTTGTCCAAAAAGCGAGCAGGATAGTGAACAAAGACCTCATGATAGTGAGGACGAGAGGATGCACACGTGTGAAGGTAGCCGTCCAAATACAGGCAACTGTCATCTTCTGCCTTTCCGTAATAGATATCCAATCCTTGATAGTGTGAATAGAATTCTTCCACATGTTCGTAGTCGTCTTCAATCTTCCAAAATTCATCACATGCCATCCAATCATCTGGATTATTGCCATGGTAGGTGGGTTTGTGTTCGGGTTCTGTGTCGTCTTCCTGGTCATCTTCCAGTGTCATTGTGTCGATGATCTCCTCCTCCTCTTCGACGTTCGCAAATCCTGAGAGACATACCTGTCCTTCCTCCAAACTATAGTCTTCTGGCAAGGTGCACGTCTTGTTGGCCGTGGCAAAAGTCAAGGCAATGGTGAGGGAGTTGTAGTAATCCAACGTCACAGAACGCTCATAGGGATCTTTCAGTAGATTGGCCGTCTTGATGACATGGCTCTTGAGTTTTTCCATGCGTTGCAATTCCTGTGCCAACACTTGGATTTGCTCGACGGTGGGTTCCCCCGTCCGCCATGTGAGTTTCATTTCGGGCGGTGACTTGAGTTTACCTGCCTTGAAGAGAGCATCGGCTTCTTCATTGACAAAGTCAATATCAAAGACTAGACTATCATCGTCCTCCTCTTCTTCGTCTTCCTCTTCGTCATTGGAGGGTTTGGGGGTTGATACATAGGGGTTTTTGGAGGTGGTAGGTGTGGGAAATGTCCACCGTTGCGGGTATTCATCGACAAACCCAAAGTCACGGAGCATTTGGGGTAGAACATAATCCAGTTCATATCCCTGCTCATCAATGCAATCCATATAAGACAAAAAGAGCTGTTCCCCAGGCGGAATATCCCTCAGTGCATGAACGGTAATATCGTCCGTTCCAGTCAAAATGGAAGTACTATCGACATTGGCATAGCGCCCACTGTGATGATTGATCATATCAAAGACGGGTACCAACTTGTCCGACCAGGCTCTCGAAACCACCGTCAAGTAGGCAAATTCAAGCATTTCCTTATCTTCTTCTTGATCCAAGGACATGCTATGGGTGCAGTGTTGGGCAAAGCTGACCTTGGTCAAATCGTCGGGAGGTAACTGTTGTCCTCGAATGAGCAGCAAGAGCGATTTACCCCGGCTCGAAAAAGTCGATGGGAGTGTGATTCGTTCCTTGCTAAAGACATACGACACATAGGGTTCATAGTCCGACTCGTCTTGGAGCTTGCGCTGTCGCACCAGATTCTCGGCGGTATGGCACATGTCTTCGGAAAACTCGGAACCCGTCGTCAACAGCCACTGGCGGGGTACTACCATGACTGTCTCGCCCTTTTGGAATCCTTCTCCGGATGCGAAGAGACCCAAAGGTACAGTATCGGAATCCGATTCAAAGAGAGGACGAATGGTAATCTTGGGACTGTAGAACCCACCCTTCTTGGAACGCAACCAGTCAATCTGCCGTTCCGCCAGTGCTACCCCCCGATGCTTTTTCGGCACATCGTCTGTCGAGGATGGAGCCTCTTTGCCCACTGCCAGCGAGACGAGAAGAAGGAAACTCAGTAACAACGGCAACATGGGTGGTATTCTTGCTGTCATGGTGGAAGAATAGAAAGGAGGGAGACAGGAGATTGAATTCGATTCAACCGATACTACTCAGTAAAAGGGCCTTTGAAAATTGTGTGCATCCCACCACAGCGGGCTCAAAATTTGTTGGCGTGTGCAACGGTGCCAAAACCGTTGGCGTTTTCCTAACGCCAAAACCCTCATTTATCTTCAACCTTATGGCAGCACTTCAAAACCAATCCCACGCACTCGTCTGGCATCGAACCAAAACTCCGAAAGTCTCGCTCCAAGATGGTCTACATCGTACAGCGAAGCAAGAGCAACAAGCAAGAGACAAGGAAAGTGCCTTGCTTTTTGGCTCCCTGCTCTCCGTTCTCATGCTCAACTCGGACTTATATAAACTTCCACGAGAGACACACACCCTTTCTTCCATCTGTGACATGTTTCAGAAAAATGTTCAAGCTGGATCCAGTAAGAGCGGGCTGCCTCAGCTATCTACTGAGTAGCAACGTAGCAACTGCTCTGTCCAGCTAGACTAGACTAGCTAGTCACTGGCCTTGGATGCGGCGTACCGTAGTGGATAGTGTTCTGGCGTGTTACGTTGAAAACGGAAGGAAAGGAAGCAACCGCCCCGCGTGCTTCAAGGTAGTTAAGTTCGATGGCTTTCTGTCTTGCCGTCACTCTCCACCAAATGCATTCTTGCCGACTTGCTTCAGAAGGGCAAAGCGAGAGCGAGAGCTTGCCATTTTCAGTTTAACCAAGGTGCATTCCAGCTACCGGTACACTTACACAGTGAATCACTTACTGACTACAAGTACTGTAGTCAGCCGACTTAGATCGAAGGAAACCTTCAATAGTATTGTTCCGCTCGTTCAGTGCCTCCAAGAACAATGGGTCCCCATCTCTTCCAGTGAGCCAAGTTGGCTGCTGTTGGGATCGGTGCAATCACAGCGACGGGACAACACAATTGGAGAGGATACTACATGTACTGGACTTGGGTTTGCCCACAATTTCAACTCAGGGCAATTCCGACATACAATCGCGTGCGAAGCGGGCCATGATTGAAGCATGATTCTTTTGAGGTTCCGGGATGCCTTCATTTGGGAAATGTAACAATGCAGGCCTGTGAGCCTTGTCAAAATGCAGCAAGTCCACGGAACGCTCAGCAGTGCAAAGCAACGTACCAGTAACTGCAACATAGCAACCCCCAATCTTTTCACAGCAACAGCAGTCAACAGCATTAGGATATACTATCACATAGTTCGAACCCTTAACCTACTAGCTAAACAAACTCACTGTTTCAACTTTGAAGACTCTGCGGCGCTGTTGTCATGTGTAGACAGCAACTGGATGAGCAAAGATTGAATCAACCATAGTGACACCTGATTGTTCCTGGCACACCTTTGCAACAGCATCAAAAGCACCGTATAGATTTTCCAAGAGTTCAAACACTTCCACCGGTGTTCGTTTGCCACTAAGCCCGCCAAATCCTGCATAGACAATTCAGGGTGGTGATTTGTTAGGTCAACAACACTGCATCAGCTTTGACACGATTCTTCCAACAGAACGCACCACAAAAAAGATTGTGGTAATATCAAAGAGATCCGCAATGGGCTTGCTACTGTTGCATGAAGCTTTGTCGGTGGATTCCTGCAATGTCATGAACTCTTTGAGTGTATTCTGTTTCTTCTGTTCTTGTGTTTGTTCGTCATATAGCTGCTGCTTGACCTTTTCGGGAAAGAGGGAAGAAACATTGGCTCCCGAGGCCAGAGCTCTTTGCATGACAATGCGCTGTCGTCTTGCAACGGTGCAGTCGTAGATGATGAAAACCAGAGATGTAAAGATAAAGATAAATGCGGCCAACGTTGTGAAGATCACCGGGCCACTGGTGACATAGTCATCTTCAAAATCCTGTGAGGGATAGACGCCGAGCGTCATGACACAGTATGTTTTGGACTGTATCAGGAGCAAAAGGGGAGTGGGAGGCGTTGCATCTATCAGCACACATCGAGCGGCCTCTGGAACTTACCACGGGAAGCCCCGAGTAGCTGCTCCCTTCTGCAGACTGTCTGGTGCCATCCATGATATCATAGAGTGTCTTGGACGTGCCCAGGTAGTTGTATTGGGGGTCATGAAGGTCCCCACCGCCCAGATATATACCCTTGTTACCATCCAGACGATAGGAGAACGTTCCTCCACACAAGCTGGAAAAAACCACCACCACCCCGTTTGTTCCTTCCGGCAAAATGTTTTGGATGTAGCTTTTCCACATTGTACCAAAAGTATCCACGGGGAGTGTGATCGATGGACCTGTCCAACCGCACTGAGTTGAGGGAATCTGCAGCATCACAACTGCCGAATATGTCAACGTAATTATGTTATGTTCAGGATACAAATGGACTCGACTCATACGATTCTAGCAGATACAAATGGACTGTTGAGCAAAAGAACTGGGCAAGAGGTTCACTTACAATGGGTAGGCAATGTACCCGGTTGGTTCCGTGGGATCTTCATTGGGACCAAGAAACTGAGAGTTAAAGCCGGCAAGGAATTCTGCTGCTGTGACCTGATATGGGTCTGAGGAATCATAAACAATGCCCTCGACATTGCTGATGATCACAGTTTTGTTATGAAAAATCTCCAAGAGGCCGTCGGATCCATGGGGAAGAGTCCAGTCATCATAGTTGACTCCCAAGGGAAAACCAAAATCTTCGACCACAGGATTAGACTGAGAATTCAAGAGATGGTTGTTCACAGTAGTATGACCAACCGAGCCTTACTCTAACTTGATAGCTAGCTATTAATAGCTGCAGTCAGCAAGCAAGAGAACGAATTGCGAACTCAGAATGAATACCGACCAGTACGGAAAACCAGCGGCCGGAGCCAGGGTGCGTACCGTACGCGCCCTCGTCAAAGGTCCATAGTTGCTTGTACCTCGTCCACTTGCTGGGAGCGACTGGAACAGGTACAGTGTAGTAGCGCGCCACCACCCGTCATACATCTGTTGATTGCTCGATTCGATTCAAATTTTTCATGGACTGATGAGCGGTGACTGTGACAACATCCTCTTCACATGTTATCCCGCCAACAGCTAGCTCGTCAACCTTTTTGCTGCGTAAACTCATGAAAGATCCTATCCAGCTCCATTTTCTCCTCCGCGTTGGAACAAATGGCAAAAGTGTCCTGGCATTCATCCATTTGTTGAGAGGCCCAAACATTTTTCCAAAGATCTACAACGCGCTTATCATTGCCCTTCTCGCAGAGAATCAAGTCGGTATTCTCCATGACTGCTTCCCAATCATCCTCATTGGGAGCAGCTGTTGTGCCGAGATTTGCCGTACTCAATGCTAACCGTGTGGGCAGATATACATCCAACAAGGAGGCTAATTCCTCGATGGAATGATGTGGAAAGTGCTGACAAATTCCAGCCACGTGGGTATCGAGTGGCTTTTGATGGGCGTTGGTTCGGCCAAAGGATCCTATCGACGGGTGCTCTTCCAGAAACTTGGCTCCGATGGGCAAGACTTCTCGCAAGTAGAGCAGCGAATCATCAACGGATTTTAGTGCCTGGGGTTGCAGAATGATAAGGTGGGGAGGACATATGTTGTTGCTGGCGGCTAGACCTTCTTGGAGGGCTTGCAGGCCTCTGGCGGCTGCAGTAACAGGATCTTCTTGCTCGTGGGTCTCAAGGTGCCATATCCAACTGCTCCTACTGTTTCCAGTGGATGGCACTTCTGAAAAGACTCTGCCTTGGCACCACTTTTGCGATGACGAGACAAAGGCTCGCAGCCTCATCATACTTCTTTGGGTGCTATCATGAACGTTGTACCGGTGGCCCTCAATTTTTGAAGGCACACATTTTTTGGATTGAGTGGATCTATTCTATTCCATCAAAGTGCAGCCCTTTGGCCCCCGCATTGGTCCCCTTGCCAATACTCGCCCCCAGCCAAGCAGATAGGGTCAAGGGGAAAGGTCACAGTTACAACTCAGTCAGGAGCATCCAAGATTCAGTGGAAGAAGCAACCTGGCGAGTCATGCCAGGTGGCTTCTCAGAGACCACAGACTCATTCTTCTGAAGCAGAAGATCCAAAAGTACTATCAAGACTAACCTGCCTGTGCATAGCCAAACCTCAAT